CTGATGCATTGGAAGTGGGATATTAGAAGAAGAGGGGTCCTGGGTCACCCTAAGGACTTACTGAGATGGGGAAAAGCAGGTCTAGAGGAGGAAAGACTGTGTTCTGAGAAGCCTATTAACAAATAGCCATCCAAGTGTAGATGTCACGGAAGCAGCAGGATATCAAGTCTGGAGCTCAGAAGAAAAGCGGAAACACATTTGGAAGTCATCAGAAAGTTTCTTAACCCTCATACAGTCTGTCGCCTTCTCCACAAAATGGGAATAATAGTAACACTTCTTAAAGTGTAAGTAAGGATAAAAACGTTTTAAAGTGTAAGGATGAAAACTGATGAATAGATTAAGCACAGAATGGGTGCTTAATTCTTGACAATTACTACGTTTTTATATTGACGCTTATTCATTCTACGGACAAAACGTGCACATGGCACAGTGATTATGAGTGTGCTGTTTGAGGTGGACTTCCGCATTCCAGTCCTTACCTCATTTGCTAGCTGTGTGATCCATTCCTCAGTTTCCTTATGTGTGAAAAAGGCATAATTATAATACCCACACACAGGGTTAATGAAAACTAGCTGAGGTAATGGGGCACAGTGTACTTAGCAAGCACTCAGTAAAATTTTTTATCTATCAGCGGAAGATGAGGCTTGACTAAATAATGCATTCATCTCAGGAGTACTGTAATTAGTCGCCTCTCCCTTTTCGGAAGGAAGCCCCTCCCCAAGATCCCTCTCCGAGAAGACCTCACAGAGCTCCTCCCCGAAATCACTCAGTCGCTGCTCCTCCACGTGCCCACGGCGGTCTGAACGCAGCCCTTTCTCAGCTCACAGGGTTAACATTTAACTTCTCGATGTTGAAAGTCTTCCCCGGACTGAACTCCAGATGGCACAGCGGTATCCGTGAGCCCAGTGCCCGGTATTGGACATTCACTGAAGGCTGAAGGAAGGCGGAGGAACCTCTTCCGGTCCGGAAGAAACCACAAGGTTTCTCCATCTGGGTGAAAAGGGTCTCGCCCCGCACGCGCTTGGGGCTGGAGCCAGACGCGCGGTCCGCGCTGGTGGCGAAAGAACTACAATTCCCAGCAGTCTGCGCGGCACGCAGCTCCAACTGTCAGGCGCGGCCGCGAAGGGCGGGACCTATATAAAGCTCTTCTCGGCGCGTAGCTACCCTTTTTTCCGGTTACCGCGTCCTTGTTCTCTTGGCTCTTCGCGTTCTCTGCTAAGGTTTACGCCCATCCTCCGCCGTACCCGGCCTTAGCCTCGGCGCCACCGCCGCCACACTCGCCGGAGCTACTTCCCGAGGTTGCGGGATGTTGAGCGCAGCACGGAGGACCCTGGCCTGCCGACCTGGTTGGATCAAGGTCCGGAAGGCCACATTGGCCGCATGCGCAGTGAAAGGAGCCGGAACCTGTGAGGGCCGCGCCCTGCTCCCGCCTCGGCCCGCAGGGCCTTGTGCTCCGGTGTGACAGGTGAGTAACGCGGGCAGGCCGCCGGGAGCACGGCAGTTTTGGGACTGAAGTGGCTTAATTTGGGGGGAGACCACGTGATGGGGTCAGCCAGACCTTGAATATGCCTGTGACAGCTAGCTGCTCGGTGATCTTGGGCAGGTGACTTCCGTGCCTTCATCTAAATTATCTGGCTGCACAGCACATGTTAAGGAAGTCACCATGGTGGGTATAAGGACAAGGTTTTCCGGAGGACGGGCTTTAGTCATTCAGATACTATTTTAAATCCTAGGTTTGTCACTTTTTCCATTGATAGACAACTTTCGGTAAGTAACTTAGTCTAAGTCTTATAAAAAATGGGGATGATAAAATGGTCCAGTGAAGATAAACGAGACAAAACACTGGCACATAGTAAAACAAAGTGGTGATTGGGACCTATAGGATGTTTGTTGTCTTTTTTTAGTCTCCAGAGTGTCCCAGTAGATGAATTGGTGATAAGTCCTGACGCACAGGATTTAGGTGAGTCTGAGGGCTACACAGTGTTGGGCCTGCCCTGTGACCTGGATTACCCTGTGGCCCTTGTCGAAGCTGCAGCTGCTTCCACATAGCTGCTGTGGTCAAAAAGGAGCCCAGAGTGACAGTTTTCCTTGACGGTCGCTGTTCTGTTTGCTGTAACTGATCTGCAACATTTCAGGAAAAGACAGCTCCCATTGTACCTGCCATTTTTCAGGTATAGCCAGAGACCTTTATTAGAGTTGACACATTTCCAGAGGCTAACAGAAATGTTCCACTGATGGGGTCATGCATACAGAGTTAACAGAATAAGGCTTTTGAGAAGTAGCTTGCAGAGGCCAAGAACCAGCATGGAGGGGTAGATGGGGGCGGGTTAGATATCTGTACTGGGAAAATCCCGTGGCAGGTGGTGCAGATCTTGATCGTGCTTTGGGTCATTGCCCTGAAAAGCTTATGGCATCAGTACTTAGGACCAAAGGCTAGTCAAAAAACGTAGTTCTGAAGACCAAAGGAAGGGAACAGTTAAGATCATTCAGGACAATTGTGTTCTCCTTTTAGCTGTGCCAGATTGAAGATTCCAGGATGACTGAAGTTGATCTTTCTGGTGAGTGAAGACTGGGGTCATGACAGTGATGGAACACAGCAGCCTCAGGACCTGGTAGGTTTTCTGTAGGGACGTAATTTGGGAGCTACGTGGGTCAGTACAGCATGTTCCCAAGGGCTATGGCTTGTTGTGGCCATGGGATCTCCAACTGCATGCAAGAGCAACTTGGAGAGACTTTGACAGCACAGGTCAGCATAATACCTGCAGCTGCCACTCGCCTTTCCTATAGTACCTCAGGACCTGGGCTGGAAGCCTTCCACTTGAGTCCATGTGTTTCCATCAAAAAAGTCAGCTTCTGTGTATGGATCAACTTTTTGGTTTAGAGCTTCTACACTTTTTTTCTGCAGGTTGCCCCCAGGTTTTACTGGCAGTGCCTGATACTGAAGTATCTGAAAACACCAGCTTGCTGCTGGAGCAATGCTTTAGAATAAGGTAAAGTTGGATGTTGAAGACAGCCTGACCCTCCGGTTCCCTTTCCCATCAGATCTGAACCTTGGTCTTGGTGGTCGTAAGAGGAGGAATAGTAGTACTGAAGCTATGCTCATGGTGTCTGTTTATATAGCATGTGGGCTAGTTTCAAACAAGGTTGAATTCTCTTGGAACTTATTGCCTCCTCCCCTGTAAAATGGGATAATCTTAGACTTAAAGGGAGGCTGTATGTGAAACTGGGCAGCTGGTATAGTGATTGCTGACTAATATTTCTGTATTTGGGAGGGATTTATCCATAGCTTTCTTGACTCCTGATCGAGTGTTCTTTTTTTCCCCTCCTAAGATCTGTTACCAGTAAAGCTGTCTTCTGTGATTGTGGATCTACAGAGTTGGGTGAGTTGAATGTCTGCCAGAAGCTTTCACACAACTTCCTTGCAGCTTCCATTAGTATTTCACTGTTACACCCTAAGCAGTGTAGCCAGTAGATAATAAGGCTACTCAGGTCTGTGTGTAAAAGTCTTCTTTTTAATATATCATTTACATCTGGCCTTGTGTGCTGTATTTGTTGGCTCTTCATAACCGTTAGGACAAAAAATAAATGTTTACAGTGTGACTTGGTCTGCTGGATTTGCCTATGCTAAATGCCAAGAACACACCTGCAGAGTAGAATGTGGCAGAAGGGACAGTCCTGTGTCTTTACAGCAAGGGCTGACTACTGTGAATGCAATAATGGCTTGAGCTCATGCTCATTGGTTTTGGTAACCTTGGAGTCTTACCCACCCCTCTCCTGGGAGAGTGGTTCTATTCTAGCTCAAGGTATTTTTTTAGGCTGTGACTGGTCCAGGATGAAACCTAGTCTGAGTGGACATCTATGGATGATAAATGCGGATATGGGACTGAGACCAGCCCTTAGGAAAACCTGGGTGGCATTGATTAATTGGGGCATTATTAACACACTGGCGTACACTTCTTTTTCAGGAGAGAAACACTACAGGAAGAGGCAAATGAAGAGACAAGGGGCTCTTTGAGGTGGAAACACCTTTTTTTCTTGCTGATGCTGGTACCTGGCATACAAGTGACCAATAAAAGGTTCCTGGATGTATGTTTGTGTCAGTTTTCTTGATGTCCCTCAGATTGTTGGTTATTCCCTATTTAAATACTCTGTAAGACTCAGAATGAATTATAGTCTCAATTTCTGAAGAAAAGGTTGATCTCAGAAAGGAACAAAACGATCAGTTCTATAATTGCAATTGTATTACCCTTGCTGAGTGAGAATTCAGGCTGAGCGCAGGACTGGTACTTAATGTCCTGGGGCAGTATACTCCGCCGCCCCCCCCCCCCCCCGCCCCCAGTTTCCTAGCACGAAGCTATAGGTAAGGCTTTTCAGGAGGGTCCTTGTGGTAAGTTAAATGGGATCTCCTAATTTATTTGGAAAATAAATACAGAGATGTGTAAGGCTTGCATCAAGATAGGGTTTGGTGATGGTTGACCTCATGGTCAGGTTATATTTCTGAATTACCGGTTCCTATATATAAATGGATTAATATCTACTAACAGGTGGGCTTGGCACAGATGGTACAGGCTTTACCTAAAACAATCCAGGACTTTTGGTCTAGATTAAGCTGGCCCCAACACGTCTCTCAATGGGCTACTTCCTCCCCAGTCTGAATAATGAACTCTGCCTAGCCACCAGACTGGAAGCAAGTTTGTTGGGGGAAGGGAATACCTGAAAGCAGATAATTGCCCACCATTTGGCACCATTCCTGCAGGGAGTCCACGCACTCTGACCTCAAGAGAACCTTAAGGAGTAATGTGCCTGTCACCTAAGAAGTTGGTTTTAGTAACATAACTTTGGTGGTTAATCCTTAATCTCCAGGAGTGTAGACAACCCTACCTGGATAAATGATTATTGTTCAAAGATAAATTGGAACCTCATTCATCCCTCTTCTAACAACTGGTCCCTTCACTTTCAAACTCAAATGGCTCAAATGAAGGCAGCAGTATCCCAGGAAATATTCATAATTTCAGGAAACAGTTGATTACTAAAATCTTACAAATTTCAAAAAAGGTAAAAGTTCTTGAAGTAATCTTTTTTTAAAAAAGGAGTCTCTTAGCTCCCTCACAAAGCCCACTCTGGCTTGTGCCTTGTCCTGGCTACATCACGGCAGGGATCTCTGAAGACACTGTGTCCAGGGGCTGCCAGTGGCAGTCCATCAGCGCGTCGTACAGCTCCTCGCTCTGCTCCATGAACTCCTTGTTGGCCTCAGTCACATCCAGCTGTGGCATGGGGTCTGGAAGAGAAGCAAGGATGGGTTCAGGGGGCGCAGAGGGGAAAAGCACTCAGCAGCCACAAGACTCGGTACCCTCCTTCCTCGCTGACAGCACTGCCTTGCAGGCTTTCTATGAGGATGAAAACAGGGTAACGCACAGTTCACACTTGAACAGCATGAGTGTGAACCGCGTGGGTCCACTTGTATGTGGATTTTTTTCAAGAGTAAATGCTACAGTACTACACTATCCACAGTTGGTTGAATCTGAAGATGTGGAGTAACAGGGAGGGCTGACTATAGGTTACATGTGGATTTTTGACTTGTGAGGTTGGTAGGCGCCCCTAACTGTTGAGCTGATCAAGGGTCACCTGTACTCAGAATGTAACACATGTAATTAGAACTCAAATAATGGCGGCTGTTACTCCACATTTATTAAACACTACACATATCTCTAGCTGTCACATGCACCGGATTTTCTGGTGTGGTCCTGTTTTTCAGTTGGGGTTTGGAAAATCTGATCAACAAAATAAGAACAATGAACGTCTAATGAAAGAGCTATGGTCAAATACAGGAGCTGAAACACCAAGTCCTGTATTTTTAAACTCGTCTTTCTTGATTGCAATAGTGGTATTTGTTCACCAGAAATCATGACAAAATACATAATAGTTTTTTTTTTTAAACCCCTAACAAGTAAACTATCCTTAGGAGGGAATTGAAAATGAACCTCAGCTGCATCCAACTTGGATGAGTCTCACAAATAAAATGCTGAGTATTGAATGAAAGAACCAAGACAGTACATACAGTACAATGGCATTGAAGTTCAAAAACAAGCAAAACCAAACCCTGCTATTTAGGGATGCATATCTATGTGATAAAACTATAAAGAGAAGTTTTGTCCCTACAAAACACAATACAGTAAGTAGTTTTCCTTAGCGGGGTTGGGGGTTGTGACTGTGGGAATGTTGGCAATGTTTCCACTTGACCTGAAAGAAGGTTTCATGGGCATTTCATCATTACATATCAAACTATACATGTTTGATCTACTTTTCCATGCACTTATATTTCACAATTCAAAAAGTTTAAAAGAATCCTCAGTTACTATGACTGATAACATCTTATATTTTCCTTTCAGTAGTGTTGGTTTAAAATGCACACACCCAGGGCTTCCCTGGTGGCGCAGTGGTTGAGAGTCCGCCTGCCGATGCAGGGGACACGGGTTCGTGCCCCGGTCCGGGAAGATCCCACATGCTGCGGAGCGGCTGGGCCCGTGAGCCATGGCTGCTGAGCCTGCGCGTCCGGAGCCTGTGCTCCACAGCGGGAGAGGCCACAACAGTGAGAGGCCCGCGTACCGCAAAAAACAAAAACAAAACCAAAAATGCACACACCCAGGCCTTCCCTGGTGGTTAAGACTCCGTGCTTCCAAAGCAGGGGGCATGGGTTCCATCCCTGGTTGGGGAAGTTCCGCATGCCTAGGGTGTGGTCATAAATAAATTAATTTAAAAAATAAAATGTACACACCCATTCATTAAAACATTTTTAAATTAACTGGAGAAATTAAAGACCTTATTAAAGAAATCCCACGTACTCTGACTGGAAGACAAATACAGATGGTCCTCGACTTAATGATGGTTTAACTCACGATTTTTCAACTTTACGATGGTAAAAAAGTGACACACATTCAGTAGAAACTGAATTTTGATCTTTTCCCGGGCTAGCGATATGTAGTACAATATTCTTGTGACGCTGGGCCGCAGCAGTCACATGATCACGAGGGTAAACAAGTAATACACTGAAACTGTTGTTTTTCACTAGGATTACAGTATTCAATAAATTGAGAAAATCAACAGTTTATCATAAAATAGGGTTTGTGTTAGATGATTTTGCCCAACTGTAGGTTAATGTTAAGTGTTCTGAGCCTGTTTAAGCTAGGCTAAACTATGACGTTCGGTAGGTTAGGTGTATTAAATGCATTTTTGACTTAATGTTAAGTCGAGGAAGATCTGTATTGTTAAGATGGCAATACTCCCCAAAGTGATCTATAGATTCAATGCGATCCCTATCAAAATCGCAGCTGCCTTTTTTTGTTGTTGCAGAAATTGACAAGCTGATCATTAAATTTGTATGGAAATGCAAGGCACCCAAAATAGCCTAAACAATCTTCAAAGATAAAAGCTACTAGAAAAAAATAGAAAGAATTTTTACAACTCAACAAAAAGACAACCCAATTTAAAAATGGGCAAAAGACTTGAACAGACATTTCTCAAAAAAAGATATACACATGGCCGATAAACATACGAAAGTATGCTCAACGTCATTAGCCGTCAGAGAAGTGCAACTCTAACCATAATGAGATACCACTTCAAAGCCACTAAGATAGCTAAAATGAAAAATAACGACTGTTGGTGAGGATGTGGAGAAACTGGAATTCTCTTATGCTACTGGGAATGGAAATGCTCCAAGCCCTTTTGGAAAAGTTTGGCCATTTCTCAAATGGTTAAAAAGAGTTTACTACATGATCCAGCAATGCACTCCTAGGTATATACCCAAGAGTACTGAAGACTTTTCTATATCCACACAAAAACTTATACACGCATGTTCACAGCAGCATTATTCATAAGACCAAAAGTGGAAACAACCCAAATGTCCATCAACAAAATGGATATCCATACAATGGAATATTATTCAACCATAAAAAGAAATGAATGACATGCTACAACATAGATGAATCTTGAAAACACTAAGTGAAAGGAGTGAAAGAAGCCATTCACAAAGGACCACACATCATACATGATTCCATTTATTTAAAATGTCCAGGATTGGTAAATCCAAAGTAGATGAGTGGTTGCCAGGGAAAGGATATTGGAGAGTGACTGCTAGGGGTTTCACAGGGTTTCTTCTGGAATTAGTGGTAATGGCTGCAAGACTTTGTGACTATTCTAAAAACTACTGAATTCTACACTTTAAAAGGGTGAATTTTATGTTATGTGAATTATATCCCCCAAAATAAAAAACAAAAAACCCTAACTGGGATCTTCCTGTATATCCTATTTCAGGACATTTTTCATTGAGAACATTTTCCTATGTCAATATTATTAGAGAAAGACATGATTTAATAAAACAAACAAAAAATCTTAAGAAAAAACTTACCAGACTTCCCTGTTGGCGCAGTGGTTAAGAATCCACCTGCTAATGCAGGGGACACGGGTTCAAGCCCTGGTCCAGGAAGATCCCACATGCCGCGGAGCAACTAAGCCTGTGTGCCACAACTACTGAAGCCCGCGCACCTAGAGCCCGTGCTCCACGATGAGAAGCCACTGCAATGAGAAGCCCGTGCACCGCAATGAAGAGTAGCCCTCTCTCTGCAACTAGAGAAAGCCCGGGTGCAGCAACTAAGACCCAACGCAGCCAAAAATAAATAAATAATTTTATTAAAACAAACAAAAACCTTACTGTATTTGTTTAACAAATCCCCTATTATTAGATACTTATCTGTACTGATATCATTTTGGGACAAAATCTTTCAGGTAAAATTGATTCAATGGACATGAACATTGTAAGAATTCTTTACAGAAACATAGTATATTTTAATTTGTATTTGATTACTAGTATTAGCAGTGTGATGGTTACATTTTATGTGTCAACTTGGTTAGGATACTGGTGCCCAGTTTGGTGAAACACCAGTCTAGATGAAGATATTTTGTAGATGTCGTTAACATCAACAAATCAACTGACTTTAAGTAAAGATTACTCTCAATAACATGGGTGGGCCTTAGCCAATCAATTAAAGGCCTTAAACTCAAGGTTTCCCAAAGAAGGAATTCTACTTCTAGGCAGTAATACAGAAATTCTGAGTTTCCAGCTTGCTGGCCCACCTTACAGATTATAAATACGTATATCCTATTGGCTCTGTTTTTCTGGAGAACCTTGACTGACACAAATAATGTATGTTTAAATTCTTTTTTCTTGTGGTTTATAGGCCATTTGTGCTTCTTTTGTATATTTTTTCCCCTTTTTTATATATTTATTTTTGGCTGCATTGAGTCTTCATTGCTGCGAGCAGACTTTCTCTAGTTGAGGCGAGCGCGCACTACTCTTCGTTGCGGTGTGTGGGCTTCTCATTGCAGTGGCTTCTCTTGTTGCAGACCACGTGCTCTAGGCACGCGGGCTCAGTAGTTGTGGCTCAAGGGCTTAGTTGCTCCGCAGCATGTGGGATCTTCCCGCACCAGGGCTCGAACCCGAGTCCCCTGCATTGGCAGGCGGATTCTTAACCACTGTGCCACCAGGGAAGTCCCTTCTTCTGTAAATTGTTTCCAGTTTTCTCAGCTACTTTTTTTTTTTTTTTTGCGGTACGCAGGCCTGTCACTGCTGTGGCCTCTCCCGTTGCGGAGCACAGGCTCCGGAGGCACAGGCTCAGTGGCCATGGCTCACGGGCCCAGCCGCTCCGCGGCATGTGGGATCCTCCCGGACCGGGGCATGACCCCGTGTCCCCCATATCGGCAGGCGGACTCTCAACCACTGCGCCACCAGGGAAGCCCTCAGCTACTCTTAAGAATCAACCAGTGAGTGCTGAATCAACCAGTCAGTGGTGAATCTTTTCACATAAGTACTGTGTCCGTTTCTGCCGCCAGAGGGATATTTCTTTCTCTTGTAATTTTAATCTAAATTATGAGTTGAGGCTTTGAGCACGTACAGCATCTCCATATGGAAACTCTAGTCACTCCACTCAGTGGAGGTATCAGCATATGGGAACAGACTAGCAAAGGGCTCCATCAAGGGCAGGCATTTGTTTTCTTGTTGTTTTTCATTTGTTTGTTTGTTTGGGGTTTTTTTGGCCGTGCCACATGGTTTGCAGGATCTTAGTTCCCCGACCAGGGACAGAACCCAGGCCATGGCAGTGAAAGCCCCAAGTCCTAACCACTGGACCACCAGAGAATCCCCAAGGGCAGGCATTTGGGTGTGTGGAACTCTATGGACACACGTACAATAAAGCACCCTTCCTCACTCTGAACACTGGGCCTGGAGGATGGCCTGTTGAGCCAAGGGATAGATGAAGAAGGATGACAATCCCTGCGGTGTCCCATCACTGTGTGGCTATTAGGTTGAAATGGGAGGTGTCAGGGAATTCCCTGGCGGTCCAGTGGTTAGGACACCACGCTTTCACTGCCAAAGGTGTGGGTTCAACACCTGGTAGGGGAAGTAAGATCCCGCAAGCCATGCGAGGTGGCCAAGAAAAAAAAAAGGGAGAAATTATAACTGTGTGGTAAAGAGCATGAAGTCTGGGGCAAGACTGCAGGGGTTCCAAGACAGTCTACCTCTTGCAACTATGCTGACCTTGAACAAGTAATTTAACTTCTCTACCTGTCTTCTCTTCTGTAAAATCAAGATAATTGTGGTACTTACCTCAAAGCCGTAGTGAAGGCAAAATGAGTTAATACATGTAAAGTGCTTAGAACAATGCCCCGCATATAGTACAACCTGTTCGCTATTATTAACTACCTAAGCTTCAGTTTTTATTTTCTGTAGAATGGGGTTTATAACAGTACCTACTCATCAAAGTGTTGACAGGCAGCAGCAGTGCCTGGCACAAAATATGTTGGCTATTATTAAACTATAAATGGATGAGAAAGAAATAGAAAAATTCTAAGGAGTTATACACAAATATTATTACAATCAGGATAATTTCTTTAAAAAGGAGGCAATGCAATGCTTCCTGCAGGACACGGTGAGAGACTGAGGATAGAAAGACAGGGACCCCAGGTTCAACCTTGCTTCTAACTCACTGTGTGACCCTGAGAAGACAGCGAGGATCGCCAGTTCCCCATCCGCCAACTGGAGCTCAATGTCCTGCCCAGTCCATCCCTAGGGTCACTGCTGCCAGAATTAGATGACAGCACGTAAGTGAAAGTGCTTTAAAATGCTATGAAGTATATATAATATTCCTATAGGTATAGTTTTTTAAAACATTTTAATGAATTATATGGCATTTCTCCCAATAGATATTAATATGATAATAGCTGCCCCTCCCACTAACAGATTTGCTTTATCCAATAGAAGATGCTTCTTCTGCTGGTCAACAGTTTAATCATTTGTATGAATCCCTCTAAATACATTATTGCGCTCTTGTTCCTCTTAGCAATTTTCCCATTAATATTTAAATAAGCTTACCTCCCAATTTGAAAATAAAAATTAAATTTGAAAAAAAAAATGCTACGAAGTAGACAAGTTTGTTTTTTGCCTGCAGATGTTTCCTTTAAAGGATATTTTGCTTACAGATCACACTTTCCCTATGACCTTCTCTTTCTTTTTTTTTTTTTAAAATAAATTTATTTATTTATTATTTTTGGCTGTGTTGGGTCTTTGTTGCTGTGCGCAGGCCTCCTCTAGTTGTGGCGAGCGGGGGCTACTCTTTGCAGTGCACGGGCTTCTCACTGCAGTGGCTTCTCTTGCTGCGGAGCACGGGCTCTAGGCACACAGGCTTCTGTAGTTGTGGCGCGCAGGCTTCAGTAGTTGTGGCTCACGGGCTCTAGAGCGCAGGCTCAGTAGTTGTGGTGCACGGGCTTAGTTACTCCGTGGCATGTGGATATTCCTGGACTAGGGCTCGAACCCGTGTCCCCTGCATTGGCAGGTGGATTCTTAACCACTGCGCCACCAGGGAAGCCCCTGACCTTCTCTTAAAGAATAATTCTTAAAACAGACTTAGAAAAAGACTCAAAGTTTAAAATCTATCTGACATAAAGTTTTATTTACTTAGAAATCAATGTCTGATTTTATGACAACTGTTATTTTACTTCTTTAAACCTTAAACCTAACATCTGTTCAGAAACATGTTGAAAAAAAATCTTGTTTTTTATAATTTTGCAAACCTTAGAGACTCCTTTAAGAAGTACGAATATCTCATTTGAAAAAAAACATTTGTCTGAAGGTTAGCAATTCCTCTGGTTTTCCTTTCTCTTTCTTCTGTTAAATTCAGTAAAAATCATAATAAACTTTTAATTTAAAAAAGTAATAATGGCTATTACTATGTAGAAAAATTAGGGGTGATTTTCAGTTTCTTCATAATACTTTACTGTATTTTTCAAACTTTCAATAACTATTACTTGAGTGAGAAAAACATGTAATTTAAAGATATATGGGAAAAAATTAAAACATGAAATGAAAAAAATGAATTTTACAAACTGTGAAACAAATATAAGGCAATGGTGTCTTTGCTACAGACCTATATCCTGTCAGGGCTCCCTCCCCTGTCAGTTGCTCCCCAGGGTGCTTTGAGATCTGCACTACCCCCTCGGGTGACACTCACATCTTAAGCACTGAGTGAAGGGACTCCTTTCTTACCTTCCAATGCATCATCTCCGACTTCTTCATATGTCTGCCAAGAGACCAGAGAGGTTGGTGAGAAGCATGGTGAAATCCTGGCCCATGACTAGGATGGTTTATTTTTAATAAGAGGAACTAAGCTGCTTCATCTTCCCTTCTGTTTTTTTCTGAAGCCCAAGCTCCCATCCTTACCCGTCCCATCCTGGAGAATCACCCAGGTCTCTACAGGATGATGTAACCCAAGAGGGCCAGACCGGCCAAATCACGGTTACCTGCATGATGCTCTGGGTATAGCCATACTGGGGATAACTGTAGCTGTAGCTGCCTGTGTTCTGGTCATAGCCCCACTGGGCATAGTAGTTCTGGTACTGCTGGTAATACTGGTTGTAGCTGTAACTGTACATCTGACTATATTCCACTGGCTTCACACGGCTCCTTAAATGAAGAAAGAAATAAACAAATAAGCAAACATTTCCATAACACTATGTGACCAGGGACTGTTCTGAGTGTTTTACGCAGATTAACTCATTTAATCCCTACAATGGTGCTATGCAGTAAATATACCATTATTCCTATTTTACAGATGAGAACACTGAGGTACAGAGAGGTTACATCATTTGTCCAAAGTCACACAGCAAATAATAGATTCAAACCCAGGCAGTCTGGTCCCAGAGCCCAGCTTTAAAGATAGGAACTTTAGGGAATTCCCTGGTGGTCGAGTGACTGGGACTGCACCCTTTCACTGCCAAGGGCCTGGGTTCGATCCCTGGTCGGGGAACTGGGATCCCGTGGGCTATGCAGCACGGCCAAAAACAAAAAAAAAAGATGGGAGTTTTCAATGGTTAGGTTTGTCTCTCTTGTCAAACCTTGTTAGTACTGACTTTTCCCCTTCTCAAGATCTTAGAGGACTGTTTTTCTGCCAGCCACAAAGGCTCAGGTGAACATAGCCTGGAGGATCTGGATTTATAATGATACGAGAAGCATTTTAAATTACAAAATATCTTATCACCTTTTCCCCGCAAAAACATAAGAGAAGCGTTTTAGTAGCCTGGAACTGTAGTCAAAGCTACCATTTATGGAGTAGGTACTTGAGATTTGTGCCCATTATTTTTTTTTTAAAGATTTATTTATTAATTTATTTTTGGCTGCTTTGGGTCTTAGTTGTGGCACGCGGGATCTTCGTTGAGGCATGCAGGATCTTCCGTTGCGGCGCGTGGGCTCTTTGTTGTGGTGCGTGGGCTTCTCTCTAGTTGTGGCGTGTGGGTTTTCTCTTCTCTAGTTGTGGCGCACAGGTTCCAGGGCACGTGGGCTCTGCAGTTGTGGTGCGCGGGTTGCAGAGTGCGTGGACTCTGTAGTTTGGTGCACACGGACTCTAGATGTTGCACGTGAGCTCAGTAGTTGTGGCGCATGGGTTTAGTTGCCCCGTGGCATGTGGTACCTTATTTCCCTGACCAGGGATCGAACTTGTGTCCCCTGCATTGTAAGGGGGATTCTTTACCATTGGACCACCAGGGAAGTCCCTGTGCCCATTATTTTTCATACATAGTTTCCTATTTTAAGTCCTGCAAAGCTCTGTGATAGAGCTATTATTTATTATTCCCATTTTACAGATGAGAACACTGAGCCTCTGAAAAGTTAAGTGATTTACCCAAGACTACACAGAGGAATGAAGCCAAATTTAACTCCAAGGCTCACACTCCTACCACCACACCACTACATACAGCTCCTGCCCCGACAGACTCAAGACCCCTTGCCTGTCCCCCACTTCCTGCATTCACCAATCAGGGCTGAGGCCTAGGGTCAGCAGAAAGCTTTCTTCTCTGATTCCACAGCTATCCCAGCCACTGCTAACCAAAGACAGAATGTCAAACCTGCAAAGGATCCACCGCTTTCAAAAACGTAAAAAACCACGTGTGATGAGCTCTTCCCAAGTTCCTTGTGAGTTTAATGTCTGCCTGGTGAGCGGGACTCAGCCAGAGCAGTTAGACAGACCGTATCTGATTTCCTTAGCATCACCTCCTGATGGGGTGGCTTGATGAAGTTCGATGGCACAGATTCCCTCTCCCCGCCCACTGCCAGGCTGGAAACTGCTAACATTTGCCTCCATGCTACCCCCGACCCCGGCCATGTGTCCAAGGAGTCCACCTCCCTCCTGACATGTTCAGGTCACTGGAGGTACAGTCTCTCTGGCCTGGGTCTGCACACTTCTCTTCTGTTTCTCCACACTCAGCTCTTACAGGCTAACTCTCGAAGGGAACTCTTATCACCTTCAATTCCCAGTGCTTGAGGGCCACTCCCCACAGGCAGGCATCAAATACTGACAATGTTCAGTGAAGAAACAGATGTAACAGAACATAAGCTCCCTGCAGAAGGGACTTTGTTTCTCTTGTTTATAGCTACAACTTCAAAGTCTAGGGTGGGGCTGCAGTTGTAGGGACTCATTATGGTTGACTGAATAAATGGTGACACAGCAGAAACAACCAAAATAGTAAACTTCAGAGGAACTGCTAGACAGAATATACAATCAAAACAATATCTTGCAGCTATTAAAAACATCACAATGACGACGACTGTGCAACTCAATGGCAAAGTGTGTATAATGAGTAAACTGGGGAAGAAAAAGAGTGAGCACTGTTATTGTAATTTAAAAATGAATAAAGAGGGACTTCCCTGGTGGTCCAGTGGTTAAGAATCCACCATCCAATGCTGGGGACACGGGTTTGATCCCTGGTCGGGGAACTAAGATCCCACATGCCACAGGCAACTAAGCCCTCGCGCTCTAGAGCCTGTGTGCTGCAACTACTGAGCCCGCATGTTCGGGAGCCCGTGGGCCACAACTAGAGTGAAGCCTGCGTGCCGCAATGAAGAGCCCAGGAGCCGCAACTAAGATTCGATGAAGCCAAATGAATGAATAAATAAATAAATAAAATATTTTTAAAAAAATGAATAAAGAAATGAATCCACCACATGTAAATTGACCCAAATATATGTAGTGTGTGTGTTTTTACATCTACATCTATATTTACACATCACAGAAGCTTATGGAGAAGCCTGGAAAGGAACCCAGAAATTATAAGCAGTCATTTTAGAGTAATGAGAACATTCCTTTCTTTTAAATATTCTCTTTAATGTTTTTATATACACAACAGAGCTCAGGAACTTCCCTGGTGGTCCACTGCTTAAGAACTGGTCTTGCAATGCAGGGGAGGCCAGTTCAATCCCTGGTTGGGGCACTAGGATCCCACATGCCACACAGCAACTAAGCCCACGCACCACAACTACTGAGCCTGTGTGCCACAAATACAGAGCTCACATGCCGCAACTACTGAGCCTGCATGCCACAACTAGAGATCCCGTGCACCGCAACTAAGACCTGATGCAGTCAATAAATAAATAAATAAATATTTTTAAAAATATGGCTCAAAACAAATAATATTTGGAGGAGGGGAATCACTCAAGCTGATCTTCCATGTATTAAACATTGTTAAACTGCAAAGAGCCTCCAAATCTTTTGCTGCTTTAAAAAACATGGCCATTTGGAAGTTCTGCCCTAAGAGTGCAGCCACTTTTCTACTTTTAACACGGAGTTTCTCAGCCTTGGCAAAACTGACATTTGGATGGCGGGGGCAGATTGTTCTTTGTCACAGGGGCTGTCCTGTGTACTGTAGGATGTTTAGTAGCATCCCTGGCCTGTACTCATTAGATGCCAGCAGCACCTCTCCCCCAGTTGTGATAACCAAATTTGTCTTCAGGTGTTCCAATGACCCCTAGTTCAGAAGCATTGCTTGAGCCAAAGGATGGAAGGTTATATGCAGAGAAAAACTGTCTTACATCTGAGTAAAAAACCTGCTTGGAGCTGTAAGGAAAGAAGGGTTTTCTGCAGAGTGACAGGTACAATAGTGATGTACATATTCTCTTGTGTTTGTATCATTAATTTTTTTGGCCGCACCACGCAGCTTGTGGGAATTCCCTATATCATGTTCCCTATATCATGAATTCTTAGCCACTCCCAAAGCAAGGGACACTCATAAGAGGTCTGTAGGTTTCGTTGACATAAAAAAGGCTAAAATTGGCTCAAAAGTGTAACTTTCTTCTTTCTGCTCAATTCTTATTAACTGTAAGGATAAATTTTGAACAGCAGCACTACTGGGGCAAAGAGCAGGGACATTAAGTTTGCAGACCCAAACTGCTCTTCCAGCATCGCTACCAGCGACGTCTGAATGCATCTGCCTCCCCCAGTCATAGCTCTCTCCCCAGCTACGAGCTTCTGGAGGGGCAGGGTTATGCTAGCTCATCTCTAGCACCCAGCCTGGCAAATATCAGGCACTCATTATTTGTGGCCTGAACTGAATCTCCTGGCAGCCTCCCATTCAGCACGTGGACGCCCTGATTATCAACAACAGGTGAGGCGTGTGTGGGTGGGGATCAGTCCAGAAGCCCTCCCTGGCCCCCACACCAGCGCAGGACTCACGCTTTAGGGATCGCCACACTCAGACGCACTGGTTTAGACCCCAGTCCAACTGCTCCCTGGCACTCTGTCAGGGCTCGCTTCTGTTCCAGCTCATCTGTGAATTTCACAAAACCATAGCCCCTGCAGAAGAAAAACACCCACTATTTGGATCACAAATGTGATGGAGGTAAAGCCTAAGAATGGAAAAGGGGCTGAGAAGGGAGAGAGTCCATCAAACCACATGGGCAGGGCTGTGAGCCCCATGAGCAGAGGGGTGCCACAGAGCCACGTGAGATTCAAGCACTGGAGGACCCCAAGATCTGCAGAATTCCCACTTTCAGTTCATCAGTCTCTTCCATACTGTCCTGCTAGGGCTTCTTCCCAAATAGTAGCTTACCTCCCAATCTACTTGAAAGTGTTATTATTATCATTATGGTAGTAGCAGCAGTAGTAACAGTCACAGAAGGTCATTCAGCAAATAGTTACCGAGTATGCTCGGTATTACACGAGGCACTGGGACTCAGCAGTCACAAGCAGTTGAGGTTCCTGCTCTCCTGAACTCATATTCCACTTGGGGGGTAAATGAACGATAACTAACATTTAATGACCATTTATTATTTCCCAGGCATTGTGCTGAGCATTTTCCCAGGATTATCTCATTAAACTGTCCAACAACTTGATGAAGGGAGTATCCACATCCTACTGAAGACAGAACCAAAGTTCAGAGAGGTTTAATAGCTTGCCCAAAGTCGTAGTAGAAGTGGGATTCAAATTCAAAGCCCAAGCTCATAACTACTACTCAGATCAAGAAAGAACTTTTCCTGACAAATATTGTATGATCTCACTTATATGTGGAATCTAAAATATGATACAGATGAGCTTATTTACAAAACAGAAACAGACTAACAAACATAGAAAACAAACTTATGGTTACCAAAGGTGAAAGGGGGTGGGGGAGGGATAAATTGGAAGTTTGAGATTAGCAGATACAAACTACTATATATAAAATAGATAAACAAGGTCCTACTGTACAGCACAGGAAACTATATAAATATCCTGTAATAAACCATAATGGAAAAGAATATGAAAAAGAATATATATACATATAAACCTTTCCTGAGGTCTTTCCACTTTTAAAGTAACAATAATAAATAAAAGAAGAAGCACCTATAAAGCATTTCCTATTGATTCATTTATATTACACCATTCAATCCTTAAACCACCCCACGAGAGGTGCAGAAACTATTAATCAGCCCCGTTTCACAGATGAGGAAACAAGGTCAGAGGTTCAGTAACTTGTCTGCTGCATAATCCCTGGGCAGTACTGAGGCTGGGATTCACACCAGGCAGTTTAGCTCCAGAGCCTGTGCTCTTAACCACAATGCAACAGGGCCTCGTTACCACACCTCCATCTATGTGATAAATGCTGCAACCAACAGGGTAGGCATCAATAAAACGAAGGCCTTACTTAGACACTCCTGTCTGGTCCAAAACCACCTTGCCTCCCCGACAGGAGGGGTAGACTTTGACGAAGAATTCATACAGCATGCCATCATCCACATCTGGGGTCAGGTCCCCCACAAAGAGGGAGTACTCGGGGCTGAGAAGAGAGAACAAAATTCAGAGACAAAGACCAAAACTTTTGTTCTGATGAGCTCTTTTGGCCCATTCTAGGTGAATCTTTTCTGGGCCGCCTTAGGCAACAACGCATCTGATGGGTCCTTGACCAGGTCCTAATCTGTTTCATTTGGCAGTCCTGGCAGAAGAGTTACGGAAGGAGTCCCCCGCCCCAAGTCGCTCACCCACTGTATAACGCCTGTCTGGCTTCAAGCATTACATGAGTGCAGACGGGGGCACACGTCAGAGGTGCTCAAAAGATAAAACTAGAGATTCTGTATTCACAGCATATTTTCAATTCAAATGGTGAAAGGCAGAGGGAAAATGAGAACTGAACCTTCTCTCCTCAAGATGTGCTAACATGAAATGCCTCAACTTTTAGGACAGGGGTCAGCAAACTTTTTCTATGAAGGCCATACAGTAAATATTTCAGGCTCTTTGGGGACACCTCTGGTCTCTATTGCTCTTTCTTTGTCTGTTTTCACAATCCTTTAAAAATGTAAAGGGGGGACTTCCCTGGTGGTCCAGTGCTTAAGACTCCACGTTTCCACCACAGAGGGGCATGGGTTCGATCCCTGTCAGGGAACTAAGATCCCGCATGCCACGTGGCGTGGCATGGCATGGCATGGTATGCATGCATACATACATACATAAGTAAATATGTAAAGGGAGTTCCCTGGCAGTCCAGTGGTTAGGACTCCACACTCTCACTGCCAAGGGCCCAGGTTCAATCCCTGGTTGGGGAACTAGGATCCCACAAGCCGTATGGCACAGCCAAAAAAAAAAAAGTAAAAACCATCTTTAGCTTGCAGGTGATAACAAAATTAGGCCACAGTTTGCCAACCCCTGTTCTAGAACAATTCTTTAAGAAAAAAAAAAAGCAAACATTATTATTTTATTTCAAGTTAAAGTCAGAATACACAAAAGGAAAAAGAAAACTAAAATTACCAATAACCCAACCACTCAAAGGTAATCACTAAGAACACTTTTATATATACTTTTGTCTTTTTTCTTTGGCTTCTTCTTTTGAATTTACAAAAATTGGATACGACTCGTTTTGTTTCTAGCATTTTTTTTCACTTTTAGCATCTCACCAACATCTTAACATATGAGTATTCTGCTATGGCACATTAATAGATACACAGCATTCCAAATAATGAACATATTGTAATTTAAACCCCTTCCCTATTATTAGATTACTTGGGTTTTCCCCCAATTTTGCCCATTATATGTAACACTTCAATGAATACTTTTAAAATTTTTAATGGAGTATAGTTGATTTACAATGTTGTGCTAGTTTCTGGTGTACAGTGAAGTGAATCAGTTATACATATACACATATCCACTCTTTTTTTAGATTCTTTCCCTATATAGACCATTACAGAGTATTGAGTAGAGTTCCCTGTGCTACACAGTAGGTTTTTATTAGTTATCTATTTATAAATAGTAGTGTGTATATGTCAATCCCAATCTCCCAGTTTATCCCTCCCTCCCCTTATCCCCTAGGAACCATAAGTTAGTTTTCTAAGTCTATGGCTCTACTTCTGTTTTGTAAATAAGTTCATCTGTATCCTTTTTTGAGATTCCACTGTGATATCATATGATATCAATGAACACTTTCAAGGCTAACCTTTACACACATCAATGAATAAACTCTGAAAAGCAGAATTACAGGTTCAAAGGGTACAACTCTATCTAAAGCTTTTGACACATTGTTTTAAAGCTTTCAGACAGCAATTTGGAATGCTCAATCAATTTATGTTGCTACAGCAGGTTGATTCTTACTGAATAAAATGTCAATACTGTGGGCAGTCATGGGACTATGGGAGGGACCAAATATAGAGAAGACATGGGCCTTGACAGGAAGCAAACTGGAAGCGTCCACCAATAGGGATGGGAGGGGGTCGACCTTAGGAGGGAGGCAAAGCAGGACCAAACTCGGCTCCCCATTCTCCTCTTTGGGAGTGACCAGCACAGTGACGCATCTTGTCTCTATCTAGACATTTCCTGGGACTTGAAGCTACCTTGTGGCTACTCTGTACTTACCTGTTATCTGGCTGTTTCCCATAAGTGGCATAGTTCAGTTTAAAACGTTTTGCCTGGAAATTCAAAAACAAACAAACTAAAACAGAGAAAGGTGTTTTAAGAGTCAAACAATATTTGAAAAAAACTGAAATAAATTACCTTGGCCAAAATATCTCCCCCTCTCTAAGCCTCAGCTTTTTCTCCTGTATAAAAGGAGGGGGTTGCACGGATGACCGCTAAGAGCACTGCCAGCTCCATGGTTCTATGAGCCCAGGTGTGCCAGCGTGGTGCAGCTGTAAGCTAAGTAACTGTGGGAAGAGCAGAATGTAACTCTCTTGAAAAGTGTCCTCACTGCTGCCAGCCTGTTCTGCTTTCTCAAGAGAGAGATCTAGAGTTTCAAGTCTTCCGTTATGGAGGCAGCAGTGCAGAGTGAAAAGGGAATGGATTTTAGAGGCAACCAATCTTCAGTTTGCATCCTGGCTCTGCTACTTACTACCTGTGTTGCCTTGGGTAAGTTATTCCATTTCCCTGTGATTCAGTTTCCTGGTCTGTCAAAGATAACAACGCCTACTGTTTAGGGTTGTTACAGGATTAAATAAAATATACAGCTGGGATTCAATAAATGAGTTATCAATAACGATAAAAATGGTGACATCATCATTATCTCAGTGTCCTTACAGGTGTGGCTCCTGGAAGGGGTTTCCCGTTGATTTTATGCAAACACTTCTCAGCTGTGGCCAAATCTGCGAATTCTACAAAGCAGTAGCCAGCTGGGATCCTGGAAAGAAAACAGAAAAAGGGACTGGTTAAAGATGTGATACCCAGATGAGAGACTGAGTCTGGGCCTGAAGGGAGGAAAAAATCCTTTTCTAATCAGAGCCCATACTATTAATGTTTACTATGCAATCCAATCAAACCTTTAGATCTAATGTCCAGTTTATAGGAAATATTAGCCCGCGCACCTAGAGCCCGTGCTCCACGATGAGAAGCCACTGCAATGAGAAGCCCGTGCACCGCAATGAAGAGTAGCCCTCTCTCTGCAACTAGAGAAAGCCCGGGTGCAGCAACTAAGACCCAACGCAGCCAAAAATAAATAAATAATTTTATTAAAACAAACAAAAACCTTACTGTATTTGTTTAACAAATCCCCTATTATTAGATACTTATCTGTACTGATATCATTTTGGGACAAAATCTTTCAGGTAAAATTGATTCAATGGACATGAACATTGTAAGAATTCTTTACAGAAACATAGTATATTTTAATTTGTATTTGATTACTAGTATTAGCAGTGTGATGGTTACATTTTATGTGTCAACTTGGTTAGGATACTGGTGCCCAGTTTGGTGAAACACCAGTCTAGATGAAGATATTTTGTAGATGTCGTTAACATCAACAAATCAACTGACTTTAAGTAAAGATTACTCTCAATAACATGGGTGGGCCTTAGCCAATCAATTAAAGGCCTTAAACTCAAGGTTTCCCAAAGAAGGAATTCTACTTCTAGGCAGTAATACAGAAATTCTGAGTTTCCAGCTTGCTGGCCCACCTTACAGATTATAAATACGTATATCCTATTGGCTCTGTTTTTCTGGAGAACCTTGACTGACACAAATAATGTATGTTTAAATTCTTTTTTCTTGTGGTTTATAGGCCATTTGTGCTTCTTTTGTATATTTTTTCCCCTTTTTTATATATTTATTTTTGGCTGCATTGAGTCTTCATTGCTGCGAGCAGACTTTCTCTAGTTGAGGCGAGCGCGCACTACTCTTCGTTGCGGTGTGTGGGCTTCTCATTGCAGTGGCTTCTCTTGTTGCAGACCACGTGCTCTAGGCACGCGGGCTCAGTAGTTGTGGCTCAAGGGCTTAGTTGCTCCGCAGCATGTGGGATCTTCCCGCACCAGGGCTCGAACCCGAGTCCCCTGCATTGGCAGGCGGATTCTTAACCACTGTGCCACCAGGGAAGTCCCTTCTTCTGTAAATTGTTTCCAGTTTTCTCAGCTACTTTTTTTTTTTTTTTTGCGGTACGCAGGCCTGTCACTGCTGTGGCCTCTCCCGTTGCGGAGCACAGGCTCCGGAGGCACAGGCTCAGTGGCCATGGCTCACGGGCCCAGCCGCTCCGCGGCATGTGGGATCCTCCCGGACCGGGGCATGACCCCGTGTCCCCCATATCGGCAGGCGGACTCTCAACCACTGCGCCACCAGGGAAGCCCTCAGCTACTCTTAAGAATCAACCAGTGAGTGCTGAATCAACCAGTCAGTGGTGAATCTTTTCACATAAGTACTGTGTCCGTTTCTGCCGCCAGAGGGATATTTCTTTCTCTTGTAATTTTAATCTAAATTATGAGTTGAGGCTTTGAGCACGTACAGCATCTCCATATGGAAACTCTAGTCACTCCACTCAGTGGAGGTATCAGCATATGGGAACAGACTAGCAAAGGGCTCCATCAAGGGCAGGCATTTGTTTTCTTGTTGTTTTTCATTTGTTTGTTTGTTTGGGGTTTTTTTGGCCGTGCCACATGGTTTGCAGGATCTTAGTTCCCCGACCAGGGACAGAACCCAGGCCATGGCAGTGAAAGCCCCAAGTCCTAACCACTGGACCACCAGAGAATCCCCAAGGGCAGGCATTTGGGTGTGTGGAACTCTATGGACACACGTACAATAAAGCACCCTTCCTCACTCTGAACACTGGGCCTGGAGGATGGCCTGTTGAGCCAAGGGATAGATGAAGAAGGATGACAATCCCTGCGGTGTCCCATCACTGTGTGGCTATTAGGTTGAAATGGGAGGTGTCAGGGAATTCCCTGGCGGTCCAGTGGTTAGGACACCACGCTTTCACTGCCAAAGGTGTGGGTTCAACACCTGGTAGGGGAAGTAAGATCCCGCAAGCCATGCGAGGTGGCCAAGAAAAAAAAAAGGGAGAAATTATAACTGTGTGGTAAAGAGCATGAAGTCTGGGGCAAGACTGCAGGGGTTCCAAGACAGTCTACCTCTTGCAACTATGCTGACCTTGAACAAGTAATTTAACTTCTCTACCTGTCTTCTCTTCTGTAAAATCAAGATAATTGTGGTACTTACCTCAAAGCCGTAGTGAAGGCAAAATGAGTTAATACATGTAAAGTGCTTAGAACAATGCCCCGCATATAGTACAACCTGTTCGCTATTATTAACTACCTAAGCTTCAGTTTTTATTTTCTGTAGAATGGGGTTTATAACAGTACCTACTCATCAAAGTGTTGACAGGCAGCAGCAGTGCCTGGCACAAAATATGTTGGCTATTATTAAACTATAAATGGATGAGAAAGAAATAGAAAAATTCTAAGGAGTTATACACAAATATTATTACAATCAGGATAATTTCTTTAAAAAGGAGGCAATGCAATGCTTCCTGCAGGACACGGTGAGAGACTGAGGATAGAAAGACAGGGACCCCAGGTTCAACCTTGCTTCTAACTCACTGTGTGACCCTGAGAAGACAGCGAGGATCGCCAGTTCCCCATCCGCCAACTGGAGCTCAATGTCCTGCCCAGTCCATCCCTAGGGTCACTGCTGCCAGAATTAGATGACAGCACGTAAGTGAAAGTGCTTTAAAATGCTATGAAGTATATATAATATTCCTATAGGTATAGTTTTTTAAAACATTTTAATGAATTATATGGCATTTCTCCCAATAGATATTAATATGATAATAGCTGCCCCTCCCACTAACAGATTTGCTTTATCCAATAGAAGATGCTTCTTCTGCTGGTCAACAGTTTAATCATTTGTATGAATCCCTCTAAATACATTATTGCGCTCTTGTTCCTCTTAGCAATTTTCCCATTAATATTTAAATAAGCTTACCTCCCAATTTGAAAATAAAAATTAAATTTGAAAAAAAAAATGCTACGAAGTAGACAAGTTTGTTTTTTGCCTGCAGATGTTTCCTTTAAAGGATATTTTGCTTACAGATCACACTTTCCCTATGACCTTCTCTTTCTTTTTTTTTTTTTAAAATAAATTTATTTATTTATTATTTTTGGCTGTGTTGGGTCTTTGTTGCTGTGCGCAGGCCTCCTCTAGTTGTGGCGAGCGGGGGCTACTCTTTGCAGTGCACGGGCTTCTCACTGCAGTGGCTTCTCTTGCTGCGGAGCACGGGCTCTAGGCACACAGGCTTCTGTAGTTGTGGCGCGCAGGCTTCAGTAGTTGTGGCTCACGGGCTCTAGAGCGCAGGCTCAGTAGTTGTGGTGCACGGGCTTAGTTACTCCGTGGCATGTGGATATTCCTGGACTAGGGCTCGAACCCGTGTCCCCTGCATTGGCAGGTGGATTCTTAACCACTGCGCCACCAGGGAAGCCCCTGACCTTCTCTTAAAGAATAATTCTTAAAACAGACTTAGAAAAAGACTCAAAGTTTAAAATCTATCTGACATAAAGTTTTATTTACTTAGAAATCAATGTCTGATTTTATGACAACTGTTATTTTACTTCTTTAAACCTTAAACCTAACATCTGTTCAGAAACATGTTGAAAAAAAATCTTGTTTTTTATAATTTTGCAAACCTTAGAGACTCCTTTAAGAAGTACGAATATCTCATTTGAAAAAAAACATTTGTCTGAAGGTTAGCAATTCCTCTGGTTTTCCTTTCTCTTTCTTCTGTTAAATTCAGTAAAAATCATAATAAACTTTTAATTTAAAAAAGTAATAATGGCTATTACTATGTAGAAAAATTAGGGGTGATTTTCAGTTTCTTCATAATACTTTACTGTATTTTTCAAACTTTCAATAACTATTACTTGAGTGAGAAAAACATGTAATTTAAAGATATATGGGAAAAAATTAAAACATGAAATGAAAAAAATGAATTTTACAAACTGTGAAACAAATATAAGGCAATGGTGTCTTTGCTACAGACCTATATCCTGTCAGGGCTCCCTCCCCTGTCAGTTGCTCCCCAGGGTGCTTTGAGATCTGCACTACCCCCTCGGGTGACACTCACATCTTAAGCACTGAGTGAAGGGACTCCTTTCTTACCTTCCAATGCATCATCTCCGACTTCTTCATATGTCTGCCAAGAGACCAGAGAGGTTGGTGAGAAGCATGGTGAAATCCTGGCCCATGACTAGGATGGTTTATTTTTAATAAGAGGAACTAAGCTGCTTCATCTTCCCTTCTGTTTTTTTCTGAAGCCCAAGCTCCCATCCTTACCCGTCCCATCCTGGAGAATCACCCAGGTCTCTACAGGATGATGTAACCCAAGAGGGCCAGACCGGCCAAATCACGGTTACCTGCATGATGCTCTGGGTATAGCCATACTGGGGATAACTGTAGCTGTAGCTGCCTGTGTTCTGGTCATAGCCCCACTGGGCATAGTAGTTCTGGTACTGCTGGTAATACTGGTTGTAGCTGTAACTGTACATCTGACTATATTCCACTGGCTTCACACGGCTCCTTAAATGAAGAAAGAAATAAACAAATAAGCAAACATTTCCATAACACTATGTGACCAGGGACTGTTCTGAGTGTTTTACGCAGATTAACTCATTTAATCCCTACAATGGTGCTATGCAGTAAATATACCATTATTCCTATTTTACAGATGAGAACACTGAGGTACAGAGAGGTTACATCATTTGTCCAAAGTCACACAGCAAATAATAGATTCAAACCCAGGCAGTCTGGTCCCAGAGCCCAGCTTTAAAGATAGGAACTTTAGGGAATTCCCTGGTGGTCGAGTGACTGGGACTGCACCCTTTCACTGCCAAGGGCCTGGGTTCGATCCCTGGTCGGGGAACTGGGATCCCGTGGGCTATGCAGCACGGCCAAAAACAAAAAAAAAAGATGGGAGTTTTCAATGGTTAGGTTTGTCTCTCTTGTCAAACCTTGTTAGTACTGACTTTTCCCCTTCTCAAGATCTTAGAGGACTGTTTTTCTGCCAGCCACAAAGGCTCAGGTGAACATAGCCTGGAGGATCTGGATTTATAATGATACGAGAAGCATTTTAAATTACAAAATATCTTATCACCTTTTCCCCGCAAAAACATAAGAGAAGCGTTTTAGTAGCCTGGAACTGTAGTCAAAGCTACCATTTATGGAGTAGGTACTTGAGATTTGTGCCCATTATTTTTTTTTTAAAGATTTATTTATTAATTTATTTTTGGCTGCTTTGGGTCTTAGTTGTGGCACGCGGGATCTTCGTTGAGGCATGCAGGATCTTCCGTTGCGGCGCGTGGGCTCTTTGTTGTGGTGCGTGGGCTTCTCTCTAGTTGTGGCGTGTGGGTTTTCTCTTCTCTAGTTGTGGCGCACAGGTTCCAGGGCACGTGGGCTCTGCAGTTGTGGTGCGCGGGTTGCAGAGTGCGTGGACTCTGTAGTTTGGTGCACACGGACTCTAGATGTTGCACGTGAGCTCAGTAGTTGTGGCGCATGGGTTTAGTTGCCCCGTGGCATGTGGTACCTTATTTCCCTGACCAGGGATCGAACTTGTGTCCCCTGCATTGTAAGGGGGATTCTTTACCATTGGACCACCAGGGAAGTCCCTGTGCCCATTATTTTTCATACATAGTTTCCTATTTTAAGTCCTGCAAAGCTCTGTGATAGAGCTATTATTTATTATTCCCATTTTACAGATGAGAACACTGAGCCTCTGAAAAGTTAAGTGATTTACCCAAGACTACACAGAGGAATGAAGCCAAATTTAACTCCAAGGCTCACACTCCTACCACCACACCACTACATACAGCTCCTGCCCCGACAGACTCAAGACCCCTTGCCTGTCCCCCACTTCCTGCATTCACCAATCAGGGCTGAGGCCTAGGGTCAGCAGAAAGCTTTCTTCTCTGATTCCACAGCTATCCCAGCCACTGCTAACCAAAGACAGAATGTCAAACCTGCAAAGGATCCACCACTTTCAAAAACGTAAAAAACCACGTGTGATGAGCTCTTCCCAAGTTCCTTGTGAGTTTAATGTCTGCCTGGTGAGCGGGACTCAGCCAGAGCAGTTAGACAGACCGTATCTGATTTCCTTAGCATCACCTCCTGATGGGGTGGCTTGATGAAGTTCGATGGCACAGATTCCCTCTCCCCGCCCACTGCCAGGCTGGAAACTGCTAACATTTGCCTCCATGCTACCCCCGACCCCGGCCATGTGTCCAAGGAGTCCACCTCCCTCCTGACATGTTCAGGTCACTGGAGGTACAGTCTCTCTGGCCTGGGTCTGCACACTTCTCTTCTGTTTCTCCACACTCAGCTCTTACAGGCTAACTCTCGAAGGGAACTCTTATCACCTTCAATTCCCAGTGCTTGAGGGCCACTCCCCACAGGCAGGCATCAAATACTGACAATGTTCAGTGAAGAAACAGATGTAACAGAACATAAGCTCCCTGCAGAAGGGACTTTGTTTCTCTTGTTTATAGCTACAACTTCAAAGTCTAGGGTGGGGCTGCAGTTGTAGGGACTCATTATGGTTGACTGAATAAATGGTGACACAGCAGAAACAACCAAAATAGTAAACTTCAGAGGAACTGCTAGACAGAATATACAATCAAAACAATATCTTGCAGCTATTAAAAACATCACAATGACGACGACTGTGCAACTCAATGGCAAAGTGTGTATAATGAGTAAACTGGGGAAGAAAAAGAGTGAGCACTGTTATTGTAATTTAAAAATGAATAAAGAGGGACTTCCCTGGTGGTCCAGTGGTTAAGAATCCACCATCCAATGCTGGGGACACGGGTTTGATCCCTGGTCGGGGAACTAAGATCCCACATGCCACAGGCAACTAAGCCCTCGCGCTCTAGAGCCTGTGTGCTGCAACTACTGAGCCCGCATGTTCGGGAGCCCGTGGGCCACAACTAGAGTGAAGCCTGCGTGCCGCAATGAAGAGCCCAGGAGCCGCAACTAAGATTCGATGAAGCCAAATGAATGAATAAATAAATAAATAAAATATTTTTAAAAAAATGAATAAAGAAATGAATCCACCACATGTAAATTGACCCAAATATATGTAGTGTGTGTGTTTTTACATCTACATCTATATTTACACATCACAGAAGCTTATGGAGAAGCCTGGAAAGGAACCCAGAAATTATAAGCAGTCATTTTAGAGTAATGAGAACATTCCTTTCTTTTAAATATTCTCTTTAATGTTTTTATATACACAACAGAGCTCAGGAACTTCCCTGGTGGTCCACTGCTTAAGAACTGGTCTTGCAATGCAGGGGAGGCCAGTTCAATCCCTGGTTGGGGCACTAGGATCCCACATGCCACACAGCAACTAAGCCCACGCACCACAACTACTGAGCCTGTGTGCCACAAATACAGAGCTCACATGCCGCAACTACTGAGCCTGCATGCCACAACTAGAGATCCCGTGCACCGCAACTAAGACCTGATGCAGTCAATAAATAAATAAATAAATATTTTTAAAAATATGGCTCAAAACAAATAATATTTGGAGGAGGGGAATCACTCAAGCTGATCTTCCATGTATTAAACATTGTTAAACTGCAAAGAGCCTCCAAATCTTTTGCTGCTTTAAAAAACATGGCCATTTGGAAGTTCTGCCCTAAGAGTGCAGCCACTTTTCTACTTTTAACACGGAGTTTCTCAGCCTTGGCAAAACTGACATTTGGATGGCGGGGGCAGATTGTTCTTTGTCACAGGGGCTGTCCTGTGTACTGTAGGATGTTTAGTAGCATCCCTGGCCTGTACTCATTAGATGCCAGCAGCACCTCTCCCCCAGTTGTGATAACCAAATTTGTCTTCAGGTGTTCCAATGACCCCTAGTTCAGAAGCATTGCTTGAGCCAAAGGATGGAAGGTTATATGCAGAGAAAAACTGTCTTACATCTGAGTAAAAAACCTGCTTGGAGCTGTAAGGAAAGAAGGGTTTTCTGCAGAGTGACAGGTACAATAGTGATGTACATATTCTCTTGTGTTTGTATCATTAATTTTTTTGGCCGCACCACGCAGCTTGTGGGAATTCCCTATATCATGTTCCCTATATCATGAATTCTTAGCCACTCCCAAAGCAAGGGACACTCATAAGAGGTCTGTAGGTTTCGTTGACATAAAAAAGGCTAAAATTGGCTCAAAAGTGTAACTTTCTTCTTTCTGCTCAATTCTTATTAACTGTAAGGATAAATTTTGAACAGCAGCACTACTGGGGCAAAGAGCAGGGACATTAAGTTTGCAGACCCAAACTGCTCTTCCAGCATCGCTACCAGCGACGTCTGAATGCATCTGCCTCCCCCAGTCATAGCTCTCTCCCCAGCTACGAGCTTCTGGAGGGGCAGGGTTATGCTAGCTCATCTCTAGCACCCAGCCTGGCAAATATCAGGCACTCATTATTTGTGGCCTGAACTGAATCTCCTGGCAGCCTCCCATTCAGCACGTGGACGCCCTGATTATCAACAACAGGTGAGGCGTGTGTGGGTGGGGATCAGTCCAGAAGCCCTCCCTGGCCCCCACACCAGCGCAGGACTCACGCTTTAGGGATCGCCACACTCAGACGCACTGGTTTAGACCCCAGTCCAACTGCTCCCTGGCACTCTGTCAGGGCTCGCTTCTGTTCCAGCTCATCTGTGAATTTCACAAAACCATAGCCCCTGCAGAAGAAAAACACCCACTATTTGGATCACAAATGTGATGGAGGTAAAGCCTAAGAATGGAAAAGGGGCTGAGAAGGGAGAGAGTCCATCAAACCACATGGGCAGGGCTGTGAGCCCCATGAGCAGAGGGGTGCCACAGAGCCACGTGAGATTCAAGCACTGGAGGACCCCAAGATCTGCAGAATTCCCACTTTCAGTTCATCAGTCTCTTCCATACTGTCCTGCTAGGGCTTCTTCCCAAATAGTAGCTTACCTCCCAATCTACTTGAAAGTGTTATTATTATCATTATGGTAGTAGCAGCAGTAGTAACAGTCACAGAAGGTCATTCAGCAAATAGTTACCGAGTATGCTCGGTATTACACGAGGCACTGGGACTCAGCAGTCACAAGCAGTTGAGGTTCCTGCTCTCCTGAACTCATATTCCACTTGGGGGGTAAATGAACGATAACTAACATTTAATGACCATTTATTATTTCCCAGGCATTGTGCTGAGCATTTTCCCAGGATTATCTCATTAAACTGTCCAACAACTTGATGAAGGGAGTATCCACATCCTACTGAAGACAGAACCAAAGTTCAGAGAGGTTTAATAGCTTGCCCAAAGTCGTAGTAGAAGTGGGATTCAAATTCAAAGCCCAAGCTCATAACTACTACTCAGATCAAGAAAGAACTTTTCCTGACAAATATTGTATGATCTCACTTATATGTGGAATCTAAAATATGATACAGATGAGCTTATTTACAAAACAGAAACAGACTAACAAACATAGAAAACAAACTTATGGTTACCAAAGGTGAAAGGGGGTGGGGGAGGGATAAATTGGAAGTTTGAGATTAGCAGATACAAACTACTATATATAAAATAGATAAACAAGGTCCTACTGTACAGCACAGGAAACTATATAAATATCCTGTAATAAACCATAATGGAAAAGAATATGAAAAAGAATATATATACATATAAACCTTTCCTGAGGTCTTTCCACTTTTAAAGTAACAATAATAAATAAAAGAAGAAGCACCTATAAAGCATTTCCTATTGATTCATTTATATTACACCATTCAATCCTTAAACCACCCCACGAGAGGTGCAGAAACTATTAATCAGCCCCGTTTCACAGATGAGGAAACAAGGTCAGAGGTTCAGTAACTTGTCTGCTGCATAATCCCTGGGCAGTACTGAGGCTGGGATTCACACCAGGCAGTTTAGCTCCAGAGCCTGTGCTCTTAACCACAATGCAACAGGGCCTCGTTACCACACCTCCATCTATGTGATAAATGCTGCAACCAACAGGGTAGGCATCAATAAAACGAAGGCCTTACTTAGACACTCCTGTCTGGTCCAAAACCACCTTGCCTCCCCGACAGGAGGGGTAGACTTTGACGAAGAATTCATACAGCATGCCATCATCCACATCTGGGGTCAGGTCCCCCACAAAGAGGGAGTACTCGGGGCTGAGAAGAGAGAACAAAATTCAGAGACAAAGACCAAAACTTTTGTTCTGATGAGCTCTTTTGGCCCATTCTAGGTGAATCTTTTCTGGGCCGCCTTAGGCAACAACGCATCTGATGGGTCCTTGACCAGGTCCTAATCTGTTTCATTTGGCAGTCCTGGCAGAAGAGTTACGGAAGGAGTCCCCCGCCCCAAGTCGCTCACCCACTGTATAACGCCTGTCTGGCTTCAAGCATTACATGAGTGCAGACGGGGGCACACGTCAGAGGTGCTCAAAAGATAAAACTAGAGATTCTGTATTCACAGCATATTTTCAATTCAAATGGTGAAAGGCAGAGGGAAAATGAGAACTGAACCTTCTCTCCTCAAGATGTGCTAACATGAAATGCCTCAACTTTTAGGACAGGGGTCAGCAAACTTTTTCTATGAAGGCCATACAGTAAATATTTCAGGCTCTTTGGGGACACCTCTGGTCTCTATTGCTCTTTCTTTGTCTGTTTTCACAATCCTTTAAAAATGTAAAGGGGGGACTTCCCTGGTGGTCCAGTGCTTAAGACTCCACGTTTCCACCACAGAGGGGCATGGGTTCGATCCCTGTCAGGGAACTAAGATCCCGCATGCCACGTGGCGTGGCATGGCATGGCATGGTATGCATGCATACATACATACATAAGTAAATATGTAAAGGGAGTTCCCTGGCAGTCCAGTGGTTAGGACTCCACACTCTCACTGCCAAGGGCCCAGGTTCAATCCCTGGTTGGGGAACTAGGATCCCACAAGCCGTATGGCACAGCCAAAAAAAAAAAAGTAAAAACCATCTTTAGCTTGCAGGTGATAACAAAATTAGGCCACAGTTTGCCAACCCCTGTTCTAGAACAATTCTTTAAGAAAAAAAAAAAGCAAACATTATTATTTTATTTCAAGTTAAAGTCAGAATACACAAAAGGAAAAAGAAAACTAAAATTACCAATAACCCAACCACTCAAAGGTAATCACTAAGAACACTTTTATATATACTTTTGTCTTTTTTCTTTGGCTTCTTCTTTTGAATTTACAAAAATTGGATACGACTCGTTTTGTTTCTAGCATTTTTTTTCACTTTTAGCATCTCACCAACATCTTAACATATGAGTATTCTGCTATGGCACATTAATAGATACACAGCATTCCAAATAATGAACATATTGTAATTTAAACCCCTTCCCTATTATTAGATTACTTGGGTTTTCCCCCAATTTTGCCCATTATATGTAACACTTCAATGAATACTTTTAAAATTTTTAATGGAGTATAGTTGATTTACAATGTTGTGCTAGTTTCTGGTGTACAGTGAAGTGAATCAGTTATACATATACACATATCCACTCTTTTTTTAGATTCTTTCCCTATATAGACCATTACAGAGTATTGAGTAGAGTTCCCTGTGCTACACAGTAGGTTTTTATTAGTTATCTATTTATAAATAGTAGTGTGTATATGTCAATCCCAATCTCCCAGTTTATCCCTCCCTCCCCTTATCCCCTAGGAACCATAAGTTAGTTTTCTAAGTCTATGGCTCTACTTCTGTTTTGTAAATAAGTTCATCTGTATCCTTTTTTGAGATTCCACTGTGATATCATATGATATCAATGAACACTTTCAAGGCTAACCTTTACACACATCAATGAATAAACTCTGAAAAGCAGAATTACAGGTTCAAAGGGTACAACTCTATCTAAAGCTTTTGATACATTGTTTTAAAGCTTTCAGACAGCAATTTGGAATGCTCAATCAATTTATGTTGCTACAGCAGGTTGATTCTTACTGAATAAAATGTCAATACTGTGGGCAGTCATGGGACTATGGGAGGGACCAAATATAGAGAAGACATGGGCCTTGACAGGAAGCAAACTGGAAGCGTCCACCAATAGGGATGGGAGGGGGTCGACCTTAGGAGGGAGGCAAAGCAGGACCAAACTCGGCTCCCCATTCTCCTCTTTGGGAGTGACCAGCACAGTGACGCATCTTGTCTCTATCTAGACATTTCCTGGGACTTGAAGCTACCTTGTGGCTACTCTGTACTTACCTGTTATCTGGCTGTTTCCCATAAGTGGCATAGTTCAGTTTAAAACGTTTTGCCTGGAAATTCAAAAACAAACAAACTAAAACAGAGAAAGGTGTTTTAAGAGTCAAACAATATTTGAAAAAAACTGAAATAAATTACCTTGGCCAAAATATCTCCCCCTCTCTAAGCCTCAGCTTTTTCTCCTGTATAAAAGGAGGGGGTTGCACGGATGACCGCTAAGAGCACTGCCAGCTCCATGGTTCTATGAGCCCAGGTGTGCCAGCGTGGTGCAGCTGTAAGCTAAGTAACTGTGGGAAGAGCAGAATGTAACTCTCTTGAAAAGTGTCCTCACTGCTGCCAGCCTGTTCTGCTTTCTCAAGCGAGAGGTCTAGAGTTTCAAGTCTTCCGTTATGGAGGCAGCAGTGCAGAGTGAAAAGGGAATGGATTTTAGAGGCAACCAATCTTCAGTTTGCATCCTGGCTCTGCTACTTACTACCTGTGTTGCCTTGGGTAAGTTATTCCATTTCCCTGTGATTCAGTTTCCTGGTCTGTCAAAGATAACAACGCCTACTGTTTAGGGTTGTTACAGGATTAAATAAAATATACAGCTGGGATTCAATAAATGAGTTATCAATAACGATAAAAATGGTGACATCATCATTATCTCAGTGTCCTTACAGGTGTGGCTCCTGGAAGGGGTTTCCCGTTGATTTTATGCAAACACTTCTCAGCTGTGGCCAAATCTGCGAATTCTACAAAGCAGTAGCCAGCTGGGATCCTGGAAAGAAAACAGAAAAAGGGACTGGTTAAAGATGTGATACCCAGATGAGAGACTGAGTCTGGGCCTGAAGGGAGGAAAAAATCCTTTTCTAATCAGAGCCCATACTATTAATGTTTACTATGCAATCCAATCAAACCTTTAGATCTAATGTCCAGTTTATAGGAAATATTAGAAACAGAACAAGTAAAACACCACCACAAGGAAACAAACAAATCCAGAATGCAGGACCAGAATCCAGAATGTAGAACCTTATGTAAGGCAATCTTTCGTCTTTAAAAAGTCAGTGTTCTGAGAAAAGAAAGAAGTGGGCTTTTCTACATTAAAAAGAGACAAAAGAACTAAATGCAATACAGGATCTGATCTCTACTGGATCCTAATTCATTAAAAAAAAAAAAAAGGTATAAAAGGTATTCTGGGGACAATCATAAAAATTTAAATGTAGACTGGCCATTATGTGGTATTAGGGAATCATTAATTTTGTTAGTGTGATATGAGCATTGTTGGTATGTAACAGAATGTCCAGTTACTGGCAATGTATATTCAAATATTTAGCAGTGAAATGTCATAATGCCTGTAATTTATTATCATATGGTTCAGCAAAAAAAAAATATTTACCTATCTAAATCTATCTTTATAGACAGGTAGATAAGAAAAATATGGCAACATATTAACAATTTTTGAAATTAGGTGTTGAGGGACTTCCCTGCACAGTGGTTAAGAATCTGCCTGCCAGTGCAGGGGGCATGGGTTCGAGCCCTAGTCCGGGAAGATCCCACATGCCACGGAGTGAGTAAGCCCATGCATCACAACTATGGAGCCCACATGCCACAGCTACTGAAGCCCGCACGCCTACAGCCCGTGCTCTGCAACAAGAGAAGCCACCGCAATGAGAAGCCCGCGCACCACAACGAAGAGTAGCCCCTGCTCGCCGCAACCAGAGAAAGCCCGCGGCAGCAAGGAAGACCCAAGGCAGCCAAAAATAAAGTAAATAAATAAATTTACAAAAAAAAAAGAAAAAGAAATTTGGGGGTGGCTGTATGAGAGTTCATTGTACTCTTCTTTCTACATTTGTTTTAAACTTTTCATAATTTAAAAGGTTTTTTGGATCACCTACCACCGGCCAGGCTGATACAGAGTTGAAGAACATGGTTCCTATTTAGAAACTTGAAATCTATTCGGACAACGTAAATCTATGGACCTTACCTAATTGGGGGATGTCTGTGAGATTCCTAGTGTTCTATTTTTTAAAGCATCACTAAGAGACATATGTAGGAGGATGTGGCTAGATCCTCTGACATCCCTTCCTCCTAAGAGATTTATACTGAAAACAGTTAATTTTCCTCAACTGCCTCCTTAAAGCTATCACCAGTGAAATAAACCAGACTTCTCTGGAACTATGATATTCAGTTCAAATAACCTTCTGGACACCAAGCCAAAAGGTATGGGCAAGGGCAGTACCTGAGCCCAAGGATCTCAGAACACAGTCTATGAGCTCCATAAATGTTGACGCTTAGAAGAATGGTGGGCCAACTCTGTGCCTTCTGTCTTGTGTGTGCTAGAATCTTAAGGCTCACGGATATAAAGACCACCACCAGTAAGAGCTGAGCATTACTGAGCACTCACTACGGTCCAAGCACTGTGCTAGCCACTTCACATGCACCATCTCATCTAATCCTCACATAACTCTATGAGGGAATGAAACCACTGCTCCTATTCAGATGTGGAGACTGAGATTTAGGATTATACAATATGCCTTAAACCACACAGCTGGTGTGTGCCAAAGGCTGGATTTGAATTCAGGATAGTCTGACTACATTCTTTTCAGAACATTTTATTTTGAAGAATTCCAGATATAAAAATTGAAAGAACTGCATAGCAAACACCATATATATATATACCCACCACCTACAATTAACATTGTATTATACTTACCTTATCACATAACTACCCATCCATCCATGCCCCTACCCATTTATCATCCTTATTTTCTGATACGTTTCGAAGTAAGTTGCAGATATTGGTATACTTCCCTCAATTACTTTAACATGCTTATTATTAACTAGAGCTCAATGATTGTTTAGTTTTTTCCTTTTAGGGTTAAATTTACATGCAATGAAATGCACAAATTCTTCAAGATGCTGAGTTCTTTCCACCAGATTAATTTTGTGTATTTTAGAACTTTATGTAAATGCGGTAAGGCTTCTTTAATTTAGCATAATGTTTTTAAGATTCTTTCATGTTGTCACTATATTAGTAGTCTGTCCCTTTTTATTGCTAAGTGGTATTTTATTGTATGAATATACCAGTATTTATTTATCTATTTACCTATTCATGGATACTTGGACTGCAGTTTGGGGCCACTGTCCAATGTGCTACGCACATCCTTTTTCAAGTGCTTTTTCTGGTAGATGCATGTTTTCATTTCTCTTGGGTAAATACCTAGGACTAGGGACTTCCCCAGTGGGCCAGTGGTTAAGATTCCCCACTCCCAACGCAGGGGGCCCAGGTTCAATCCCTGGTCAGGGAAATGAAAGAAAGAAAAAAAAAAGAGCCCACATGCCACGATGAAGATCTCACACATGGCAACTAAGACCCAGCGCAGCCAAATAAATAAATAGATGTTTTAAATATATATATATATATATATATATATATAAAATACCTAGGACTAGACTTGTTGTGCCATATGGTGGTAGGTGTATTTAAGAAACTGCCAGGGAATTCCCTGGTGGTCCAGTGGTTAGGACTCGATGTTTTCACTGCCAGGGCCCGGGTTCAATCCCCGGTTGGGGAACTAAGATCCTGCAAGCCGTGAGGCATGGCTGGAAAAAAAAAAGAAAAAGAAAAAAGAAAACTGCCAGACACTTGTCCCCAGGGCTCATACCATTTTATAGTCCCACCAGTGATGAGAGACGTGGCTGCTCCACATGACTGCATTCTTTTTTTTTTCTTTGTTGAATTTTAAAAATTGTCGTTGAGTATACAAAACATAAAATGTACCATTTTAACCATTTTTAAGTATACAGTTCTGTGGTATTAAGTACATTCACATTGTTTTGCAACCAATCACTATATCCTTCCTTTTTTTATTTAAGCTTTAATTTTATTTATTCTTGGCTGCCTTGGGTCTTTGTTGTTGCACACCGGCTTTCTCTAGTTGCGTCGAGCGGGGGCTTGTCTTGTTGCGGAACACGGGCTCTAGGCATGCGGGCTCAGTAGTTGTGGCGCACAAGCTTAGCTGCTCCGCGGCATGTGGGATCTTCCCAGACCAGGGATCCAACCCACGTCCCCTGCATTGGCAGGCGGATTCTTATCCACTGCGCCACCAGGGAAGCCCCCAGTCCCTATATTCTTAAGCACTATGCTCTGCTGCATATTATTTTTTCCTGGGTCTTATCTTTTTCCCGTCTTTTCTCAGTTCCTGGTTTCTAATTTACGTTCATTTATTTTACAGTATTCTTATATGCCACTTCAAAGTCTTTGTCATACGACACAGAATGCACATGTAATGTGTCTGTAAATGCCACCATAAAAAATCAGCTAGAGTTTATTAATGGTACGAAAGGATAATTCCAATTCTTAATAAAGATTAAAATGTGAAAACCTATATCACTGTTTTAAAAAGAATAAAGTATTACAGAATGTATTTTCATGCCAGTAGCTGATTATCGAGGTTTTCTGTCTGCAGGGACAAGAAGAGAAACATTTAGGCCAGCATGCTCTACCAGTCAGAAAATCCGTCCCTGGGTACCGGGGTTCTGAATACACAAAGTACCTGTTCACCAAACAGCCAAAAACCTGGCCACATTTCGTATCTCTCACCTGTATTTTTCAACTATTTGACATTTTAGCAAGCTGCTTTAGTACTTGGCACAGAGTAGATGCTCAATAAACACTGTCAAACTGATAAAGGAATCCTGTTATTTCTAACTAGAACCCTAAGGAAACCTAAGCTCCTAAGAGAGAAAGAAGAAACTGGAGGCAATAGAGCACTTCTATCTGAAAGTATTCTCTGCCATTTCGTTTTGTATACTTATTTATTACCTCATTCCCCCATTAGCATGTAGTAAACTCCACGAGAGGAGGGACTACGTCTGGCTAGTTTCAGCCATGTATCCAGGGAATCTAGAACAGCAGCACATAGGTAGCATCTTATTCACATAAGAGTTAAGGGCACTCATGAGCTTTGAGAACAGAGCTGAATTACAGTCTTGGCTTCTCATTTAAAAACTGTGTAACTTTAAGACAGTTGTTAAGCTTCTCTAATAATGGTACTTAGCTCAGAGGTTTTTGCGATTTTAAAGCGCTTATTACCTAGCAGATCATAATCTGTTTATATTTACCAAGCATATACCATATGCCAGACATCGTTCTAAACGCTGAATGTGAATTAGTGGCACTTAATCCTCACCAGAACTCTATGAGGTAGGTGCTTTTATTATCTCCATTTTTATAGGCAAGGTGAAGAGGGAGAGGTTAAATAACTTGATCAAGGTCACACAGCAGACAGAGCTTTCAAAACCAGTCTGGCTCGAGTCAGCAATATGCTATACGTCCTCTTAACAAGCCCCCAAATGCTTATATCATTGCAATAACATTATTAGGGGTGAGAAGCCCCGACTCTTGCGATGTTTACCTTCTCCTGAATGACACTTGCAGCGCGATCTACTGAGGAGACCTGAGGCTGAGACGTAAGGAGAGAACATACCCAGTGAGGCGGTTTCGGATAATTTTGACGCTCATCACGGTCTCCCCCATGGTGGCAAAGGCTCTGGAGATGAAGTTCTCATCCATGTACGGTTCCAGCTGCGTAAGCACAAGAGCAGAGCGGCTCAGGCCAGCATCCAGGCTCCTCATTCCCGCATCCGGAGCCCCTCCCCCTCTGCCCGGGGTTTGCTGCACGCTGCGGGCGGGAGTGGGGTGGGCTGAAGAGGCTTCCGTCTGCGGTGTGATCTGAAGCCTGCGTTCCCAGTCCCCTGCCTTCCTTCCCTTCAAATTTACTCCTTTGAGGAAGTCTCCCCTTTGGATTTAGGAACCCCATCCCTCCAGTCCTACAACCACGGGCGCTCTTCAATCCTTGGGATTCCTCTCATTCTTTCCGCCCAAAGACCCTCCCTCTTTCCCTGGCGTGAACCCAGGCGGGGCCCCAGGGCCCCTCCCACTCCGAATCAGCCCCTTCACCTAGATGCTGGGACCCGCTTCGGAGTCACCTAAGAGAACTCCCCCGCCCATTCACTTCCACCCTTTTGGGATCCGAGGACCCTCCTCCTCAGTCCCTTTCTCCCTCGTGACACTAAGATTCCTGCTCCGCAGACCCGGGCGGCCGCCCTCACTCACGTCGCCCATCCACAGGCTGGCCGCCATGCCCGAGGCCCCCCGCCCAGGACTTCGCTGGCCACCGAGGCTGGCGCGGACGCCGGACCGCCGAGCCGGAACCTCCACAGAGCATGCGCCTCCGACGCCTTCTGCGCACGCTCCGCAACTCGGCGCCCAGGGCCGCGCCCACGTGCCGCTCGGGGTCTTGCGGGATCCCTGTGGGCGGGTCTCAAGACTGGAGCCTGCGGGATGGGGCGGGGCAGACACTGCCTGGCGTTGGATGGTGGGTGGCGCGGGTGAGGGGCTTTCTCGGGTTTCTTTCTGATTTTATTTAAACACACACGTACATATAAAATTACAGAAGTAATTTTACGCTCGTTGTAAAAAATTGCAAGTATAAGCACATTTTTTTTTAACAAGTGAAAGATCCCCTTTGGGAACCTGGACGATTCAGTCCCACTAACTCTGTGTGACGTCAGGCAAATTACCGACTGGCCCGCCCCAGCCACCCCTTCACCCCGCATTTCCCAGTTTGCAAGACATTTCTGTTGACGCTGCAATGGGATTCTTTCACCATTCCCGTGTATAGCCCCGGGGTGCGGGGAGGGTAGAGTTAAAGTGAGTGTAAATTGGGGTAACCCTGTCTTCCCAACCAGTCAAATCAATCCCTAAGTCTTGTCACTTTCTTGCGTCCACATCCCCTACACTAATCCAAACTGCCAGTTCTAACCTGTCCCAGAACAGTGACCTGCTATAGAAGGCCCTCAAGTAAACACGGATAATCCTGACAATTCGACTCCTAATCTGGGAGTGTCCCAGGCTTTAGCCTCAGTTTGATACCCATTTCTCAGAATGTGAAGCTTCTGTAGGTGGTAATTGTCATCTCCCACAGTGAAGGTCATCGCAAGTGCCTGAGGATCCATTTCTGGGGCTCCCTCTGGGTTGGTATAGGCCACCTCGGCCCTTCCTTACCAGCTTATACACCGCAAACTTGGGATGTTGGGCCCCAAAGTCAGGCACTCATGAGTCTAAAGTCTTGGATCCAACCACAAGTCGCCAAATTCCAGCTTTATCCTATTCACTGCCATAGTAGTGTAGTGGTTGGGTGCTTTGGCTATAGATTTGAACAAACGGAGCCCAAATCCCAGTCCCCTCTCACTAATTATTTTGGCAAGTTATTTAAACTCTGAGACTAACGTGGATAATAGTGCTTACCTCATACCATGTTTGTTGTGAGGATAAAATGAGAATTAGGGAAAAACACTTGCCCTAATGCCTGGCTTCCAGTAAGTTCTCCAACATGGCAGTTGGAGGCCTTCAAATTGTAACTGGTAACTCTTTTATTTAGTACTATTTGCCAGCCCCTGTGCTGTGCTCTTTGCTTACCATTTTTAAAATTTATTTTACTGGGCTTCCCTGGTGGTGCAGTGGTTGAGAGCCCACCTGCCGATGCAGGGGACACGGGTTCGTGCCCTGGTCTGGGAGGATCCCACATGCCGCGGAGCGGCTGGGCCCGTGGGCCATAGCTGCTGAGCCTGCGTGTCCGGAGCCTGTGCTCCGCAACGGGAGAGGCCACAGCAGTGAGAGGCCCGCGTACCGCAAAAAAAAAAAAAAAAAGATTTTACTTATGGAAGATTTTTAAATGTTTATTTTTAATTTAGAATGTAAGCTTTATCAGACAGGATTCCTTGTTCACGCTTTCTAATCAAATTCCCACAACCATGTCTGGGATATGGTAGGCACTGAAAAAAAAAATTCGAATTTATGTCAAACGATAAACAGCTGTCCCTTACCCCATCTATCCCTATTCCCAACTTCCAGTCCCTTGGGGCAACCACTTCCAAATCTTTTCCCTAAAATCTGTGTATTTCTAAATAGTATACTTTCTTTCTTTTCTTTTTTCGGTATGCGGGCCTCTCACTGCTGTGGCCTCTCCCGCTGCAGAGCACAGGCTCCAGACGCGCAGGCTCAGCGGCCATGTCTCACGAGCCCCGCCGCTCCGCGGCACGTGGGATCTTCCCGGACCGGGGCACGAACCCGTGTCCCCTGCATCGGCAGGCGGACTCTCAACCACTGCACGACCAGGGAAGCCCTAAATTGTATACTTTCTATTCATTTGTAGTTTCAGATATTTTATTTATTTTTAAGAAGATGTTGTGGGTAGGAGTTTATTAATTTATTTTTGGTGTGTTGCGTCTTCATTTCTGTGCAAGGGCTTACTCTAGTTGTGGCAAGCGGGGGCCACTCTTCATCGTGGTACACAGGCCTCTCACTATCGCGGCCTCTCGTTGCGGAGCACAGGCTCCAGACGCGCAGGCTCAGTAGTCGTGGCGCACGGGCCTACTTGCTCCGCGGCATGTGGGATCTTCCCGGACCAGGGCTTGAACCCGTGTCCCCTGCATTAGCAGGCGGATTCTCAACCACTGCGCCACCAGGGAAGCCCCAGATATTTTAGGGACTGCCCCTCATACATACACACTTCTCCATCTTCTGACTATAATTTGTCAAAACACTTAACATTATTATGACTTTGCAAATATTATTTATAGCTGAGCCATATGGGGTGATTACATTTGTTTTGGGGTAACCAATTCAGGTTGGAGGAGGATGGGAGAAAAGGTAAAATTGAGAATATCTGATGTGTTTGAACACAGAAAATGGGATTTACACTTCTGATAGCGATATGAACACCGAATAAATGATACTTACACCAAAAAACTAAGCATGTGAAAAACAAGGCAATTATTAACTACAGGGAACTTTAAAATGTTCCAACGGTCATAACAGCAAAGGTTTGTGGGGCCTTTGCTATGTGCCTGAAACTGTTCTAACATATGTAAAGCACCTACAGAGAGCTTTATAACTCTTATGTTCAATACAAGGAAAAGAAACTGAGGTTCTGGGCTCGGGTGGAGGCTGATTTAAATTCTAGCCTAGTCTGTGCCACTTGGTAGCTTGGCCTCAAGCTAGACACTTAAACTCTCATGGACTTTTTCCTGAGGGACAGCAATTCCCACTGCACAAGGCGATCAAATGAGCTATCATTGTATGCAAAGTGCTTGGCACAATGCCTGGCCCCTTAAAGTCCCAATCCACAGGAGCTGTTATTAAGGATAGGGCACTTTCAACCTGCTATGTTGTCAAAAGGGAAAACTTCAGTAAATCTAATCCAACTGGACTTTTTTGGGCGGAGTGGGCGTGGGAAGAGCAGACACACAGGTGCTTCTTCACAAAGAAAATACTAAAATCAAAAGTGTGATTTTTCCCTTCTAAGAAGTCAATTTCTCATCAGGATAGTACATGCATCAAAACTAAAAGTTCAAGGAAAAAAAACCAATCACAGAATACATTTTAAGTTATTTTACATCATATTCATTTTTCCAAGAGTCACTGATATGGAAGAATCCTCCTGGTGCTAGTAAAACTTCCCTGCTCTAATATACAAACCTCCTATATCAGCACCGATGACTGTAACTTTCTGCAGTTATGGAAATGTTCTATACATTTCTGTATTTGCATAGCCCAGAACCATAGGCGCTAGACACTTCTGACTACTGAGGACTTGAAATGTGGCTAGTGCAACCAAGGAAGTCCATTTTACATTTTTACAAATTTAAATTAAATGTAAATAGCCACATGCAGGTACTGACCACCATACTGGACAGGTCAGCTCTATATGATTTGGTTGCTCAAATGCCTGTGAAAATCTACAGCATTATGCATTAAGTTGTTACTGTGCAGTTAATCATGTTTAATTATACTAGCTTTTGAAATGATACAGTACATCAGTAAACTTAGCTTAAGTACTTCTAGAGATGTACTGTACTCAAAAATCTCGGTTTGGGATTAGGATATTAAAAGATCCATCCCATGTCTCACACAATATACAGTATAATTTTTTTAAAATCCAGTGATTCCTGAAACATAAATACCTAACAAAAATCAATCAACTTTTTTTTATTTGTCTAGAACAGCCACTGTTCCATACAAAAAACAAAAAAACAACAAAAAAAACCCCGCAGCTGACTGGCACACACCAGGACCTCTTGACATCACTGAAGCCCTAGTCTTCACCAGGGCTACAGGCATGGGGTTATTTTGCCCATCCCAACACAGCAGGTGCTCCCTTAAAAAAGCAGGGAGCATGTAGAAAACAAGTGGCCTGTTTTATAAAACTCTAAATTTATTCAAAGTGTTAAAAGATTTCACTCTCCCCTCCAAAATACTTTACATTAAAAAAAAAATCAATACTCTCTTCTATTTTTTCAGCCTCTGTACAAGCTACTGCTTCCCTTTCTGGGGACCAGTCTCTGCCCCTCCAACCCTCTTCCCTGCCCTCCCTTCACTCTCAATATTGCTGTAAGTTTGCTTATAAAGCCCTCCTTCCCCTCTCCCCGAGGTCCTGCCCTGCAGGCATAGCTTCCTTTCTGGATTTCAGGCCCTTGGCTTGCAGGTGAGGCAGGTTGGATGGGTGAGACTTGGCAGACAAGGCCTGAAGGGCAGAATGCTTTGTGCTTCTGGGAGAAAGGCTGACTGGCTTTTTTCTTGATCAAGCGGAGGATCACTGTTTTTCTTTTTGCCCCATGGGCACCTGTTCAGGGCCAAATATTTGGCTTGGGGTTGCCCATGGCTGGGTAGCCCTGCCCCTTCTCCAGTTTCCCCAGGCGTAGGTCCATGACAGCTGGGTCTCAGGACTGTACCATTTGTCTGTGGGTTGTGAAGGACAGGAAGAGTGGCACATGACTAGAGCAGGGCTTGGCAGAGCCCCGACTTCTCAGAGTATGGGCACCAAACACGCAGGAGAGGAAGTTTTGGTTTTTGATAGGCAAAACCAGGGTCAGCCAGGACCATGGGAAGTAGGGATGAGGGGGAAAGGTCTAACCACACAGCTGTGGGGTCAGCAATGTTCCTTCTGATTAAAACCCCCTCCCCTCTTCCATCTATACCACCCTCATCCTGTAGGTCCCAGGATGATTCCGGAAAAGGAGGGGAAAAAAAGAGAAGCATTCTGTTCTGCTGATGGGAAAAAGGCAGGAGATGACAGAGTACTTGGAGCTGGAAGAGGCCTGCTGGAATATGTAGACATCATGGCTTCCTTGTTCCAGGAGGGAGGTGGGGGGGCCGGAAACCAGGCCCTCAGACGCTTCATCAACTCTGTTCCTTGCCCTTGACTAGTAAGACTGTGTGCTGGCCCCCGCTGGACACAGATAAGACCACACGGTTCTCCAACTGTTTGCCTGTCATCTCCACGGGGCTCCAGACATCCTCTTCCTGTCCTGTGCCCAGCTGGTAGTTGGTGCCCATGCCCCAGGCAAAAACACGACCTACAAAGGACAGAAATACGGGCAGCTGTATCTCCAGGGTCCCAAGCCCCACCTTTCTGTAGTGTGAGAAGCCTGGCACACGAGGGTGGATTTTGGCCTGGGCCTGTGGCTGCCTGGCAATGTCCCAGCCTCCGGGCATTCAGGGAAGCTGGGAGGAAGCAAGGAGGTGATGGACAAAGAAGAGCTCTGTCAACCAGAGACCGCAGTCCTTACACATTGCCAAAAACTTCTGCCTGCTCCTAGGCGTGGCATTCAAGGCCCGACAATGACTGGCCATTCCCCAAACCCCTATATCACCTCCATTCCCAGGACCACCTGCCTTTGAGACTGCTCTGGATGCCCTCCTTTGCTTATAAAGGACTGAACCTTCACGGTGCAGTACGAGCCCCACTTCCTCAGGAACTCTTCCCAGATAATCCCAGGTCAAGCACCTCTGCCAGCCGGATTTCTCAAGGCCTCCATGGCTGTTCCACTCAGGCTTTGGTGACTTGTCCACACCCTCCTCTGCTGTACTTGCCAGGACCCCAACTACTAAGCCTTCTTTCTCTAATAAAATTCTAAGTACAACTCCCTGGGAAGCCAGCACCTACTAGGTTGTAAATAAAAAGGGTCACCATGGTATAAAATGTAAAGAGAAGCCTGAGTTAGGAGTCTGGAGATATGGGTTCAAGTCCTACTGCTTGTCTGGGCCTCAGTGATATATCTCCCTTTGCTGTTTTTCTCCTCTAAAGAACAAATCACTTCTATTAAGATAACATGTTTACCCATTTTGTCATCAAAGCCAGAGCTTCTGACAATCGGGCCAAAAGCAACGTCACCACAAACAGTGTTCTCCACACCTCAGCTCCATCTGATGGTGGACATCAGAGGCTACTGGGCACTTCGGTAAGAACCACGACCCCCAGACTCCAACCAGACCGACTGTGGGCAGCCCCACTCACCATCCTTGGTCACAGCATATCCCACAGAGGCCCCACAAGCCACCGAAGAGACGGCGGGCAGCCTGGAGATGAGGGTGGGTACGCTCTTCTCCTCGGCACCTTCCCCAAGGCCCAGCCGCCCATACTCAGCCCGGCCCAGGCTGTATGCTCTTCCTGTGGAGGAGGGAGAGAGACGAGGAGTAGCAGAGGGCATGCTCCGGGTAGGCCATGTGAGCACCTATATCTGTGGGAGCTGGTCCCCCATTCCCAGGGTGGTGAGGTCTGAAGTATCCTTTTCAGTTTTGGGGGAGGCCTGGGAGAACCCCCCCCAGGCCCCCATTGAACTCACACGTGGAAGAACACCAGGACGCTGGGGGACGGGGGCAACCCTCGTGGACCCACAGCCAGCCCAGTCCATGGAGCAGGCCCAGGTTCCGAGCACCGCCATCTCCAGAGTGTGGCCAGGCCTGTGCCCAGGGAACACTCCACCTCCAACCCAGAGATGGACCAGGAGGCCCTACCTTCTGAATCCATGCAGACTGTATGGTGCTGGCCACCAGAGAAGCCCACCCAGGACTTCGTGGAGTTCTTGAAGGATGTCAGGTTCTGAGGTACAAAGCAAGATTCTGTGCCTGGGGTTCCTGGGGGAAGAGGCCAGGACAGAGCTGTCAGGCGTGAGGGTGTCCAAGGAGCTGCCTTCTTCTTCCCCTCCCAGTGTGGCCCCCACCCCACACCAGGGTATTTATATTCTCATTTTACAGATGAGAAAACTGAGGCTCTGAGGGGTTAGGTGACCCCACCAAGGGTGCACAACGAATGAGGGGTGGAGGCAGGACTGGAGCCCAGGTCACTCTGGGAGACCCTGGACGATGGGCTTGGGACTCACCTAGCTGATGGTAGTTGGAGAGGCCAAAGCCATATACATGGCCCTCAGAGGAGATGGCAAAGGTGAAGTAGGCACCACAGAAGGCATCCTGGAATCTGACATGGCCCCGGCTTCCCCTGGATTTCAGCATCACACACTTGGGGACCAGGAGTCGTTCTGCAGGCAGAGAGCAGGCCAGGGTCAGTGGCAGACACACACAGCCTCTCCTCTCTGCCCCATCTGTTTCTCCTTCACTGCTAAAGCCCTCGCAGGGAGGCTAGGCAGGGACTCTTGTCCCTATTATACAGAAGAGGAAACTGAGGCCAGGAGAGTCCAAGTGCCTCACTCAGACTCCCACAGCCATAGGGGTAACATTTACCTGGAACTTACCATGTGCCAGACAGTCTTTTATGTAAACTCATTTAACTTCACAACAAACCAGTGAGGTAGGTTTAGAGGTAGGTGGGTTTAGAGATGAGGAAACTATGTCCAGGGGCCCACAGCCAGTAGCTGGTAGAGCCACGATTCAAACCTGGGGTAGTCTGGCTCTAGAATCTGAGTCCTTAACTACCACCGCAGGTCCACCTGATACAAGCCTGAACACAGAGAATCCCTTCTACCTCTGACCTTCACCGGGGGTGGCTTGCCAACTTGCCCTGCCAGAGGAAACTAAGCCACCTACCGAGGCCCTGCCGGCCACCACGATTAGCAAATAATTCAGGCACGCGGCCCAGTTGGCCCTGCTCCCCGCAGCCCAAAGTACAGAGGTCGCCATCAACTGTCAGCATCACCAAGTGGTCGTTTCCTGAGGGTGAGAGGAAGGCAAGGGATGCAGGGCTTGTCTGTAAGGGCCAAGGCTGGGCCAGCCCCCCAAAAAGGTTCTCCAACTCCTGCCCAGAGTGAGTACCTGCAGACTCACCTGAGGCCACCTTCACCACGGGCGTACTCAGCTGCACCTGCACAGGCACCATGCTCTTTTTCATGGGCTCCAAGAGCCCGATCACACCATTATTGTCCTGGAAGGGAGGGGCGGAAGAGTTTTCAGCCAGTTCTTCCTGCCTCATACCAGCCAGATCCAGCTTTGCAGTCAGCCACAGAGCTGTCTGGTGAAGGGCACTGGTGCCAGATGGAGATGGAGAAGTGGGCAGGAGCCAGGCCACATAGTGCAATACTTACGAATGAAATCATACGTGGTCTGTGATTTGCATTAAAATAACAAAGGAGTTGGGGAACGGAAGGGAGTAAAGATGAAACAAGTTTGGTCATAAGCTGATAATTGTTGGGGCAAGCAGACAGAGTTCAATATAGTATTCTGCTTACTTGTATGTGTTTGAAATTATCAATAAAAAAAATTTAAAATCAGCCCCAATGAGGAAACACCAGATTCCTTTATTTTTGACATTTCAAAATAAATCGAATACTAAAGTACCAAAACAATTTTAATGCTGTATCTGCTTTTTAAACCACACTTTCCTGTCCTGGAAGTTCTGAGATGTGCCCCCAAACCCCTGAGAAGTGTGGAAGAAGGCTGGGAAGGGGAGGGGGGAGGTTGAAGGCAGGGAGATGGGTCAGTAGGCTTCCTGGCTTAGCCTCAGCCCAAAGGCATCCTTGACCCACCCCTTTCCCAAGACGCACACATCATAACATCAGAGTCCAGGGAACAGCAGTGGTGTGGACAGGCCTGGATGAAGAAGCCAGGAACCTGGGTCTGGGCCCAAGCTCTGCCCAGGGCCTTGATTTCCCCAGTAAGTAAAACAGGGGTCTCATGATGGGTTATCTTTGGGGCCCCACCAGTTAATTCTGCCCACCAGCCCCCATGCCGTCTTCCAGACCCAGTCTTACCCGGAAGGAGCCCCAAAGGAAGACACGGCCATCCTCGGTGAGGGCCGCTGTGTGACTGTCTCCTGCTGACACCTGTATCACCTTCTCTTGCAGTTCTACTTTCCCAGGGACCATCTCTGAGCCCTCCACTGATGTGTCCCTTCCCAGAGCACCCTCATCATTGCAGCCGAAGGAGTAGACCTGTGCCCAGGATGCCCCCATTAGTGCAAGGCCTGGCCTCTCCGTCCGTTCTTGTTTAGGCCAATCCCTGCTTGTCTAGCCAGCTCCATCTCCACAGAGTAATGCGTGTGGTTCAAAGCTCCTTCCCCAAGCCCCCTACTAACCCCAGGCCCTGTCCCATCCTGTGCCACGCCCAACCTACCTGGCCACTTTTACTTAGACACACAGTGTGCATGCCCCCAGCCTCAGCTTGCACGATGTCCTCTAGAATGGGCACCAGGGCTGGCTTCTTCCTCTCCATCACATTCTCGCCCAGCCCTAGCTGGCCCACGTCGCCCTGGCCCAGCGTCAGCACCAAACCCGGTTCTGTGTTGTGGGACCTATGTGAGACTGAGGGGTGAAGGAGACAGCCCCTGAGTGTGTAGGATGACGGGAGAGAGGAGAGGTCACTGCACAGGCTCTGGGATCACACAGACCTGGGTTCAAGCCCCTGCCCTGCCACAGACCATCTGACCTCTCCAAGCCTAAGTTTCCTCACTGTGAAACGAGGATAACAAAAGTACTTATCTCATAGGGTTTTTGTGCAGATTAAAAACTGATCACATTATTAATGTGAGTGGAAGGAAATGGAAACGAGACACTCAATATTGGCAAATGAATCTTGGTGGAGAGGGTTAAAGAACAGTGGGGACACAAGCTAGTTTTCCCGATAGGTTGTTCTTGGTCGGGAACCATACTATCAGGGCATAATAGCGTCTACCCCTTTACCGACTGCTTACTAGTGTTAGACTGCTTTGCAGCCCCTCACATTATGCTGGAGACCTTCCATTCTTAGGGTCCCACTTTACAGAAAAGGGAACAGAGTCTCAGAGAAGGTCACAGAATAATTAGTAGAGTTTGCAGTGCATCCTCAGGCTGTGACTTAACCCCTGGACAAAGGTACACTGACGCCCACTCCGCTCCTATGTGGGAGCGGACAGGCAGCTGAAAAGGAAGGGGTAGGAGTTAAGAACCCGCACAGGCTTTTGCAGACAGGAACACGCCAACCAGTGTGCGGCACAGGGCCATCTGGTGGCCAACAGCGACCGCCCGTAGCCCCGGACAGCCAATGGCGTCCAGCCCCTCCCCCCGGGGGTGTGACCAGGCTGCCAGGACTGCTGCGGCTGCGCAGAGGGTGCGCTGGGCAAGCAGCCGCCTGGTTGGGCTTTCTGGTCAGGAGGGCTCGGCCCGCAGGCACCTTGGCAGGAGCGGGCGCCTGGAACGCGGCGGGAGGCAACGACCCTCACTGCCTGGTTACCAGGGTCTGCAAAAGACAGACAGTGTCTGAGTGTGGGTCCATATTCCCCCCTCCCAGATTGGGGGTGGCTCTCTCTCCTCCCTGACTCCCTCCAGGGTCCCAGGAGAGAGGAGACCACAGCCACCTCCCTCCAGTGCTACCAGGACATGATCTCATTTTCCTCAGGACAGCCCAGTGAGGTTGCCCATTTTATGAATGGGGTAGTAGTCCAAGCTCAGTGAGGTTAGTGATTTGCTCAAAGCTATATGTAGCTAGAAAGTGGCAGAGCCAGGACTTGAACCCAGTCTGGAGGTCAATGGTCTTAACCATGATGCATTACGGCCTGGGGCAAAGCCCTAGGGTCTAGTTTTTTTGCCAGTATCTGAGTGCTTTTAGGCAAGTCTCTGCCCCTTTAAGATTCCCAGAGGGTGGGATTCAGTGAGCTACAGGAGACTCTCCAGCTGGGTGGAGTTCCTGGACTTCCAGGCCCCTCAGCTTCAAATCTCAGGGAGAAAGGAGCCCAGTTCCAGATTCTGGGGGTGCCAAGAGGCCACCCATACTGAAGTAGAGGCCAAGGCCAACTTACCCTTCACCTTCTTGCTTTTGGGGAGGGCATCTTCGGTGGGTGACCTTCTCTTAGTTATACGCTTGGGTGGCATCTTCCTGTCCTGAAAAACCCAGGCAAATACTCCATGTCAGAAATGGCAATCATTTTCCTGCTCTAATTAGGCAATATTCATCAAAAACCCTAAAAAAAAAAGTGAGAAGAGATGCCCAGCAATTCCACTTCTCAGAATTTATCTGAGAAGAACCAAATAATAAATACACCCAAAGATTAAGATCCACAAATATTCTCTACTGTATTCTTCATAACATTAAAAAAACAACAAAAAATGGAGCAACCCATACACTCAGGAGTAGGGGACTGGCTAGATAATATGTGGTATATTGATGATAAAACAGGACGAAGCCATTAAAAGTGATGCTTTCAGAGATTTATTTACTGAATCATTGCCAAGTAATATAAACAGATTGAAAAACAGCCCATCATCCTATTTGTGGAAAAGAGAAAGCATACACATATAAAAATGTGTGGAAGGAAATACATTCAATATTGATAATGGTAACCTCTGGAAAATGGGATTATGGACAACTTTTACTTCTTTCTTTGTAGTTTACCTATATTATCGAAGCTACAAGAAACATTACATGTATTTTTAAAATTTTATTATAAAAAATTAAAACACTGAAGAACATTAAGTGAAGTATCCCTCACAACTCCTCCCAACCCCAACATAACCACTAGTAACTCTGGTTATACATAACTGCCATAATCAGACCACACACACACAAAGCCGTTCTCATTAAATAAAAGCAAACCAAACCATCTGTGCCCTTTGATCCAAAATGCCACCACTCCTGGGAGGAACTTGGCTTTCCTCTAAGCAGTCCAACAAGAGATAAACACTGTATACACACTCACACAAACAGACGGTGTTACAAAAGGGGGAAAGGAAATCACCTATGGGTGACAAGAAGGGCTGTTGCACCTAGCACGATCGCGGGCAGCTGAAAGCCTCAGCCCTGAGCCCTTCACTCCTTAAACTAACTGCTGCTGCCTTGTCTCCTCAAGACCTCTGAGAACAGACTTTCTCCATGGCTATCTCAATTCCAATCCAGCCCCAATTGTGTCGAAAGCCTTTTCCCCCCACATAAGCAGCTTTCGAAATAAATCTTTATTGAGTCCTGGCTTCAAGGTTATGAAAGACAGTTCAGTTGTCTAAGCCTTAGGCTCTCAAACTCTAACGAGGGCAATTTGCAGCTACCCAGATGCAAAAGTGGTAGAGCAAGTGGTGGTTAAGAGGAGCCAGAATATGTGCTCAGTTGCTTTCTAGCTGTTTGACCTTGGACAAAGTTATTTAATCTCTTCATGATTCAGTTTCCTCCTCAGTAAAACGGGGATAATAATAGTACCCACACCCTGTTGTGACAGTCTATGACTAATTGAGCTAATTCTGTAAAAGTAATAACATAGTAAGTGCTCAATAAATCAATGCTGGTGTTATAACATCTAGGGTCTGTCCCAGGTGATGCTCAGGCACAGCTCTAATCTAATCTAACCCACCTCTCCTCCATTCTACGGAAAAGGGATGGAGACTCTACCCAAGGCTACAAATGGAAAGAGAACTCCAAGAGACCTTCTCAGGCTCCTCTGTGGGCCTAAGCAGCACCCCATTCTTCCTCCCTCCCTCCCTTCCTTCCTTCCAGTAGGTCCTAGAGCCTCAGCCTCTCCAGCTCCGCATTCCATGGTATATGAGCACAAAGTGAGTGGCCTGGAATTTCCAGGCCATTTCTGCTGACTATCCTGGGGGAAGAGAACAAAGTACCGAAGATGGCGAAATAGCCAAAGGCCTACAATCCGCCAAGGCTGTGTAGGTTGAGCCTCTGCAGGTTGAGCTTCTACAGGTTGTGACTGGCCCAGTTTTGACTCTGTTGAGGCATTTTCGTGTTTCACCCAACTTCTATTCTCCCAGGGTTGAACTCCTCCCCTCCAAGTAGCCTCTTTGAAACCCCTTTTCCCACATTAGAAATGCACATTCCTTAGGATAAAGGGAATTGGATTCATCTGCCAGAGCTGTGGTTTGTTCAACCCTGCTTCTGTGACCATGGTTGACCTCTATGGCAGCTTTTTTTTTTTTTTTAATTTATTTATTTAATTTATTTACTTTTGTCTGCGTTGGGTCTTCGTTGCTGCGTGCGGGCTTTCTCTAGTTGCGGCGAGCGGGGGCTACTCTTTGTTGCGGTGCGCGGGCTTCTCAGTGCGGTGGCTTCTCTTGTTGCAGAGCACGGGCTCTAGGCGCACGGGCTTCAGTAGTTGTGGTACGCGGGCTTAGTTGCTCCGCGGCATGTGGGATCTTCCCAGACCAGGGTTCGAACCTGTGTCCCCTGCATTGGCAGGCAGGTTCTCAACCACTGCGCCACCAGGGAAGTCCCTCTCTGGCAGCTTTAACCTCCCTGAGCTGTACCCTCATCTGTAAAAAGGGAGGCAATGACCACTTCCAGGGCTGCTGTCAAGACTAAATGAAGCACTCCCCTGGTGGTGCAGTGGTTAAGAATCCGCCTGCCAATGCAGGGGACACGGGTTTAATCCCTGGTCCGGGAAGATCCCACATGCCGCGGAGCAACTAAGCCCGTGCGCCACAACTACTGAGCCTGTGCTCTAAAGCCTGCAAGCCGCAGCTACTGAGCCCACATGCCACAACTATTGAAGCCCATGTGCTTAGAGCCCGTGCTCCGTAACAAGAGAAGCCACCACAATGAAAAGCCCGTGCACCACAGCAAAGACTAACCCCCGCTTGCCGCAATCAGAGAAAGCCCGCGCCCAGCAACGAAGACCCAGCACAGCCAGAAAAAAAAGAAAAAAGACTGAATGAAATGTTTGTAAAGGACCTTGGAGTGCCAAGCACACAGTAAGTACTCAATATGTGGCAGCATGTACTCATTCATTCCATGAATGCCTATTACCACTGCCAGGTGTAGCAAGGAAAAAGAAAACTAACCCTCTCCCTGTTCTCATGGAGCTTAATTCTAGTGGGAAAGACACACACACACATACACACACACACAGAGTATTATTACACATGGTGTTGTGTGAAGGATAGGCAAGGCACAACACTGTAAACGTACTTAATGCCACTGAACTATATACAATTAAAAATGGTTAAAATGGTCAATTTTATGTTATGTGTATTTTACCACAGTAAAAAAAAAAAGCGAGAAAAACTGGGACGGGGGAGGAGATATAGGTCAGATAGGTAACATTTGGGCTAAGGCTTGAAATACTAGCAAGAAAAAGCTAGCAGGGGAAGACCCGGACAAAAGCATGTGATGTGCTCAGGAACCCGGGGAGGCCAGCAGGGCTGTAGGTGGACAGCGATGGATCACATGGCACAAGGGGAGCAGGCGATGGATCATACAAGGCCTAGTAGGGAAAACAGAAGAGTTTTAAGAAAAATGTCTTCTTAACGATTGTTCTGGCTACTGTAGAGAAAATGCAATGGTTTGGAAGAGGAGGAGATTGCAGGCATCCAAATGAGAGAAGTCAGCGACTTGATTTGGTCTGAGGCAAGAGAGAAAAGTAGACAAAACAGATCAATTTAGGAGACAGGCTTGCTTTGCTGGTGGATTAGATGTGGAGAATGAGGGTGAGGGAAGAACCCAGAATGACTTTTTCATCCTATAAAACCCAGCCTCCCTGATCCCCCATGAACTTGGCCAAACACAAGGACCCCCAGGCTTTGGCTTAAGTGAATAAGTAGATGGTCGACTTCCAGTTACTGAGAACACTGTGGGACAAACAGGAGAGGAGAGACTGGGAGGTCCACCTCACCAGGCGTTTTTGTTAAGTGTGAAGTGCGTGGGAGCCGACCAAGAAGGGATGTTAAGTAGGCAGAGCTGGATGGGTTAAGGAGTGTGGGACGTAACAGGTATCCACTGTTTCTTGTACCCCTGGCCAGGTTGCCAGCCAGTTCACTGTGTCCAGGGCCCTGTCCCGCCAAGGGCATATTTCCCATCAGTTCATCAGAATGACCTGTACCAGTTAGCTGTGCTGGGGAGGGAGACTGTGTAGTAGCATGGAAAAGTACTTACAGCCAGAAGTGAGAAAAAAGGGAACAGAATAATATCAGCACATTGCTGCTGATGTTGGGTTGACCTGTGGGCAAGGCCTGGGGTGGAGAAAAATAAAGGCTATATGAGGTATTTGGTGTCATGGGTCATTAACCAAAAAAAAAAGTGTTAGTGTGGGTTGGAACAGACCCAGGCAATATCTCCTTAGCCACCTGTGTTTTGGGCTAATATTCTGGGGCATCTCACTGCAAGCTAACCACACTAATCCCACTTTACAGACGAGGAAACTGAGGCTCAAAAAGGTAAAGTGTCTTACCCAAGACTGGACGAGGAAATCAAGATCTGTACCAAGTACCTAGTCACTCAGACCCCAGGGCTGGTGCCCCTACCTACTTCCTCCCCACACTCCCCAGTCCCTCAGCCTGTCTGAGAACTCTCCCTCATACTCTCTCCCCCAGAAAAGACAGAAGCTTGTCTCTCCTCTCCCTACTGCCCACCCCCATCGCCATCCCGCTCTACAAGCCATTCATGATCTTTTTAAACCTCAAACCTGAAACAAGCTGCTTCCCTGCTCAGACTCCTCAGTGGCTCCCTCTGCCCACATTTCTTAACCTGGTACTAAAGACCTCCAGGGTCTGACACTAACACGGCTTTTGGCCTCCTACCTTATCTGTCACATCGTCCCTTCTCTTCTCACACAATCTTAGACTGCCTACTATTCTCTCCATACCATGTGCATCTCTGTACCATCCCATCCCTATCCTACTAGAAGAAGTTCTGCTCAAAGTCACCTCCATTGGTAAGCCACCTCTGATCCCTCTCTCAATCCTAAAGGAATCATTCTCGCAGAGAAATTAGGGCAGACTTTTAGATCATGATTATTTAAATTTACCTGTCTATCCACCATATCAATCTGCTCCTTAAAATGAGTCTCTCGGGGACACTGGCCTCGCCTACTTTCCATATGCCAACAACCTTCAACTTCTCACAACAAGCTGAAGAAGGCACTGTCACTCCTATTTCACAGTTGAGGGAACTG